TATGAACCTATTGAGGTGAAGTGGAAGGCAAAATTGAATTGTTATTGAATCATGCTCCTCTGTACAAACTGTGAATGCACGCAAAGCTTTACATTATGATTCCTGCCAAAATATATGGACGATAGACGGCATTTTACCCATAACATGCATAACTAGCATTATTCGGGATGGGGTGGTAATAAATACACAGTCAGTTTTAAAAGATAAGACGGTCATTAGTTAATTTTCCTCAAGCTAAGTCAGTAAGTGTCTATCTATTATTCTAGAGAGCAGAAGATTGGTAGTTGGACACTAGGCCGCATCATACCAAAATATGATACTTGTTGATACCTTGCCTCTCGCTTGCCATTAAGAGGATAAACAAAAACTGATAGGTCTGAGTTTGGTGTAGATGTTAGAAGAGTGGCATGGTATAGTTTCTGGCTAGTGCTATGAGACCAGTTTCAGCACACATGCACACACACACTGTAATCTTCGATGCAACCTTAAACCCTATTTCACCTACCTTTTCATACCTTGAACCCTGTCTGTAGCCCTTATATATAACCAATTTAGCATTGGCCCTTGTTAGAGCCCTGCCTTATATATAACCGTTATAGCATGGGCCCTTGTTAGAGCCCTGCCTTATATATAATCAGTATAGCATGGGCCCTTGTTAGAGCCCTGCCTTATATATAACCATTATAGCATGGGCCCTTGCAAGAGCCCTTCTGTTACAAATTTATGGGTTTAAATTTAGTCTCTAGGTTCAGTATATATTGGAGACAACCACATGGGCCCATGAATACCCCTTCATTTTGGACACTGCTACATGCCGAGATTATTTACATGCTGATATGTTGTTGTAAACTGTTGTCAGTCAGACAGCATTCACTTCTCTTGACCTTGTGGTTTTCTCACACTCTGAAGCAAAACCCTTCTGCATGTTTCAACCCCACTCATCTCCCAGCTGAAGCCTGTCCAGGGAATCCATCATCTTCACACTGCTTATGCTCTATCTTCCAACACTGAGTGTCACTTGGCCTATCTGTATGAGCCCGACCAGGCCACAGAGGTGACATTTCATTCTGTTGTCTGGTGCTGTAATTGAATCTGTGTGGCGACATCACAGTGAACATGCACACCCAGAGGTGATCTGCAGGGACGCACTAACCCCAGCCATTACCCAACAGAAATGTCGCAGCGACTGATTGACTAATATGTCATGTCCATGATAATGTTACATGTTTGTAGCCAGGAGTAGTGGGGATCAGTTCATTGTGTGGAGACGGCAATGTAGAGAGGATTGTTTTGACTCCTGGACAAGGGAGATGGATGAGGTTGTAGCATCCTAATGAGGAGGATCCTGGGTTTGGTGTCCCACAGTGTGTTGAGCACTTATTTTTATCCCCATATTTTCTTGAAGGAATAGTGCTTATAAAGTATAATACTCACATTGTCTCTGGGTTTCCAAACAATACCAATCTATTATGTTTAAAAAAATCAGTGTACCCGTGAAGATCGAGGGGTAGAATAGGTGTTCAGCAACCCATGCTTGCCGTAAGAGGCATCTATGCTCGTCGTAAGAGGCGACTAACAGGATCGGGTGGTCAGACTCGATGACTTGGTTTTGACGCATGTCATCATATTCTAATTGCATTGATTGATGCTCATAACATCAATCACTGGATTGTCTGGTCCAGACTCAATTATTTACAGACCGCCATCATATATTGCCGAGTACGGCATTTATATATATATATATATATATATACTTTGTTACACAGTGGTTTTTGCTTGGTAATATGATCTCCGTTTTCTGACTTAAAGATCCACAATCCAAAGGCCCCTCTGCATGAGGACCAGCACAGAGCCTGTTACTGGAATGTCATTTTGTAACTTGAAACTCCACAATCTCTGCTCAGACCTGAGCACATTCTGACCACTGGAGCATATAGTGTATATATATATACAAAAAGTACATTAATGATTTTTTTTCTTTTTATTCAGGGTTACTTCTAAGTATGGGCATTGATGTGTCCTTGTAGATCAGGTCATTGAATACACCAAGCAATATTCAACGGACTACTGTTGATATAAATTATAATCCAAGTACAAAAACTAAATCTAGCTTTTATTGCCATATTACTGTCATCAACACTATTGAGCAATTTCATTACACCCATGTAGTGCTAGAGCTGCATCAGCCCATTTAGTTAATGAATTAATAGTAAGGGTTAAATTCAGCCTGGATACTGTGGAGTTGCCTCCCTACTATGAAGTAAGTAATCAGGTGCAGGGAGATCAGTTGATTGTAAAATGCCATTGATTTATGCGAGGTGTGGTGATAACTTTACAGATGTGGTTGATTTATGTTGGGAAAGATAAGCACAATTACAATATTCAGATCCTCCTTTGGAAAAAAACCCCATCCTCTTATCGCTGCAGAGTAATTATAGTTATATATATTACACCTGGGATGCAGCCACATCTGGCTGAAACTCAATTCTCAGCAGTATTGAAAATCTCAAATGTAGTATTAATCTCTGAAGGTAAATAATTGTAATACGTACCAACTGGCACTGGGAATTGGTTGGAATTTGGACATACATCATTTGTTGTGTTGTGTTTTTTCAACCCATCAATCATGATAGGTTACTTTATAAATGAAAATCCTTTTTTGTACTTTTGAAGTATGTTTTTAATCATGATTTCAAATGGTCAAACTTATATTTAAAATGTAGCATATTAATGATGAGTGTTTGTTATCATGGTTATATGTAGTTATGTTTGTGTAAATCATGTGTACAATATTGCTGAGTGTCATACACAATTCGTTTGCTCACTGACCTTGCTCGCTGGCTGTCTAATGTCTACACATGTTGAGTGTTGATAGATTAAGTTTACATTTAGCTGTTATTTTTTCTAGCATTAATTGCCAACCCTGCCATTCTCAGTGATGTAGCTGTGGTATTAAGGGTATGCCTGCATTTTTAGTCCTTCCCTCGCCCCACAGGGATTCTGGATCAGCAATGTATGCTGACAAGTCGAAACAGGATCGGGTGGTCAGACTCTGATTTGGTTGATCCCAGTTGCATAGATCGATGCTCATGTCAATCAGAGGATTTTCTGGTCAAGACGTGAATGTTTACAGGCTGTGTCATATTGTGGAATTCTGAATGTTGCTGAGTGGGCTATCAAACTTACAAATGTAAGAGGTGACCAAATGGATTAGGGTGGTCAGGATCAGTGACTTGGTTGATTACATGTTATCGTACTCATGGACCGTTGCTCACAATGTCGATCACTCGATTGTCTGGTTGATTAATTACAAGCAGCTGTCATATAGCTGGAATATTGCGCAGTATGGTGTGAAACAACAAACAAACATGTCAGTCTCTACCTCTACCTCGGGGTATGTTTCAAAGAGTTGCATCTCCAGTCTGACAGAGTTTACTTCTGCTGTTAATCTGTGTAATATTGCCCTATGTATTGCCATGAAGAGTACGATTAAGTTGATATTAACTTGCAAACACCTCACACTACTAGTACCACAAGGCCATTATGTAATGAACCACTTAGTTTTATCCTCATTAGTCTCTGGAGGATATTTGATTTTAATTAGCAGAACATTTTATTGGTGGCAATGAATGTATGTGAGACGGTGGATGTGAAGAACTGATTCGCTTGTACTGTTAAAGCTGTTTTCTGGCTTCAGTTCTGGGAATGTGTTTTGTAAGGTTCTTGATGTGTTAACCAGAATGTTTGATTATAGAACTGATGTTCGTTTTAGTTCTTTGATGTGTTTCTACTTGATGTACACAAGTCTGTTCTGTGCATTTTGTATACAATTAGTCCTGCTGTTTAGAGATTCCAGAGTAGAAGAGGTCCCCAGTACCTCCAGCTTGTTGTAAGAACTGACTCATGAGGATCAGATCTGGTTGATTGTGTCAGCATGTCCCAAGGCCATGGATGATTGTTCATGTTATCAACCAGTGGTTTGCCTGGCTCAGGTTATTAGGCATTGATCTGTTACCTTCTGCCAGACCCAGTATGTGTCTTGCTTAGCATGTACATCTCAAACTCAAAGCATGATATTATCATGTGCGTGTATATGAGTACACTATGTTATGTGAGTTTTATCCACGGCAAGTAACAAAAATAGGGGTAAATCATGAGATTTTTGCTCTGTTTCCATCCAGCATTAATAATCTATGGTCTTAGATTTATTCCCCACTCTCCAGTCTGTGACTGCACTCGGTCAGACCAGTCAGAAGCCCAAGTCTAGTAACAGGTCTTGTTTGTACGTCAAACAAACGTACATCAACATGATCAATGACACTATTTATCTACTACAGATCATGATACCAAGTAACAAGTCTCTGCTAGTTTTTGGAAGAGACAACCCTGCAATGTACTGACAACTGCCTCAGGATTAGAATTGTGTTCAGAATGATTTTATGTGATTCCATTCAATTCCGTAACATCAGTGTTGACATATAAATCATTAAAATGAGAAATGAATGTCCCCCACTTTACAGTCATTAAGGTGCTCTGTTATGGATATAAGGGGCGGTCGGGTAGCCTAGTGGTTAAAGCGTTCGCTTGCCACGCCGAAGACCCGGGTTCGAATCCCAACATGGCTACAATGTGTGAAGCCCATTTCTGGTGTCCCCTGCCGTGATATTGCTGTAATATTGCTAAAAGCCGCGTAAAACCAAACTCACTCACTCACTCACTGTTATGGATACCTATCTTTCTATCTTGTGAGTTTTGCTGCATTTGAAGTTTTCTCTTTCAGAGTATGTCATGGGGGCATCTCACCCTTCCTTGTTTTCTCCCTGGGTTTAGGTGTGTGCTTCCCTAAGTGGTGATGATGCGTACAAGACTCTCACCACAGGGGTTGCCTTCACTTCTATGTACAGCACAAACAAACATTTCTCCTCCGCATACAATTTGACATCTGTAAGACAAATATGTAAGAATGAATTTCTGTTTACCTCTGCATTTTCTTGTTTCAGGATGCTGTTTTGTGACATTCTATACCAGAAAAGCTGCTCTGGCTGCCCAAAATGCCTTACACAATATCAAAACAATGCATGGGGTAAGTAAAACTCTTATCAAAGCTTCTTGTTATTTTGAGAAGACCTTTTCTTTTCAAGGAGACTGCTTCATCTGATCCCTAAAACAGTTAGAATAATGTCCTATCTATTCACATGAACTTGGGAGTGTTTGTTGGTTAGGTCTAACAAGTAGAGTCCTCTCATTTTCAGTGTTACTCGCTGTTTATGACAAAACAAAGAGCACACATGAACATATGCCAAGCACTGCTAACTTTTCTGCCACAAATAAAATGAAATATAGTCCAACCTGCCAACCTCATTTTGAAGTCAAGTGTAATCAGGACATTTGCTATTTTTGTTAAGTCTTCCTGTCTTTTAGGAACCCTCAATAAGTAAACCAATATTTCATGTTTCCCACTCAACATTTTCACATATTCCAGAAATCCAATCTTCCAATTACAAAAGTGCCTAATGAAGCATCTATTGTCACATTCCCAATGACTGCTATGAATGGATCTAGTTTGGGAATTTTGTGGTACATGTCTCATGGGGAGCTGCTGTTTCAATGATACACCAAGCTGGTTGCTTGATATTGATGGCAAATGACATGTCCACATTTTCACAGCTAAAACTGGGATGAAAACCTTGATCAGGGGTAATTTGATGCCCTTAATTGAAGCTAGCCATTTGAACACAGAATGATTAATCTAATCATGCTACTTTTGTCTTTCCGAGTTAGTCCGGCAATGGTAGAGTTGTTGTTCATTGCTTTGGGTGCTTTTAGCAATATTCCAGCAATATTATGTTGAGGGACACCAGAAATGGGCTTCACACATTGTACCCATGTTTGTAATTGAACCCGGTCTACAGCGTGACAAGGAAGCACTTTAATCACTAGGCTACCCGACCGCTCCTTCATTGATTTCAGTTTGGAGGAAAGCTTGAATGAGGGCCTCAAGGAAATAGTCTGAGATAGAGAACTGTCTAGACACTGATGCAGTCAGAGAAACTTCAGCTAGTTTATTTTGAATTGAAATATGCTTTATGTGTATATATACATAGAATTCTTGGCATTTTGTTGAAGGAAGACAGCACATCTGTTTTGGAAAACGCGTCTTTGAGTATGGATCCTAACAATCTCAATGGTACAAGCTGTTGAGAGACAGCTCCATTGTATGTTATGTGGTAGATTTACAGTCACACTTGTGCACTCTGCAATTTTACTAGACCTGCTTTACTGATTTGGTTATGATAGGTTTACTAATTCAAAAAATCGTTTGTTAGTACAGGTAACAGCTAATAGTTTATGTATTGGGGTAAATTTTAGATGTCAAAGTAAATCGTTTTGAGATTAGGTATCTTGTTGGTTGCGATGTTTGTGTGATAGACTTGAATAGTTGTAAGAAAAACTATAAATAATATTTAACACTTCTGGACAATCAATCATTGATAGGTTTGGAGAATTATTGGAGAAAAAGAGGTCTCGGTGATGTAAGTAGAGAGAAAGCTGCAATAGAAAATTACTTTTGGAGTAACTAGTGCTGATACTGCTGATTTCCCTGGCAATTACTTTGGCCATTGAGGTTAATCCTCAAATCAGGATGTTGGTCAAAGTGCCCATTAAGTTCTGTGACTTCTAAATGACTTGGTCTGTTAATTTGCAGCTATCTTAATGAAGGATCGCGATAGCTTAAACAGTTTATGGATTCCCTTAATCATCCCACGAGAAACCTCGACACTCCAGAGTCAAGATAGCAGGAGTCTGTATAATTAATCATCTGACAATTCCATTATTTTGTGAAATAGAAAACAGAATAGAAACCCAGGATGATGTCGGCTGCATGAAGCATTATTACGCTATGAAATATTCATCATGAAAGTTATCCAACTTTTAAGCAATACTGGTGTAGCTCAACATGAAGTGTTTCCAATATTGCAAATGCCAATAACAATACAATTATATTGTAAATAGGAAATAGAATGGAAACCCCAGGATGAGGAAGCCTTGTGAAGTATAACACAATATGATATGTTCATCACGAAAGTTGTCAAACTTTTAAGCAATGCTGGTTTACCTCCCCATTCCAAGCCAACGGTGTTCCACCATGTGATGCACTACACAGCAGGGGCTACCACACCAGGAGTCCTGGGAGACGACAACAAACAGATGCTTGTCTGCTGCATCTCCACACGCACCATGTCCTTCATACATCATGCTGCAGCAGGGATGATGATTGGATGGGGTTATTGATGGAGCGGCATGTTGGGGGTGATTGCAGAATTCAAACATGGTCCCAGACAGGTTGCTGCCGACACTGTGGGGTGACCTGGATGGCAGCCCAGGCTTGGAGAATCAGTATAATAGAAGGGTTTCATCATGCGAGACTGACCTCTTGACATGAGGGTTCTGGCTTTCTGTATGATTGTAAATGTAATTGAAACTGGGGCAGTTTGTTGGTTTCACAGAAGTGATTGGAGTTTGTCGTCATAGTTACTGGAAGGTGAACCTAGTCAGTTCTGTATGGATTTTCGAGTAGAGAAGTGTCCCAGATATTTATATCGTGAGGTAGAGTTTTAAGGATTTAACTTTCTAAGCTTGATGTTAGACTGCAAGTGGTAGGTGTATGTTTCCCTGTTTCTTTCTTATTACATTCTCAAGTGTAAAAGCAGGTTTGCCATGGTGATCAGAAGTTCAGTTATTTTTCTTTATGAAATAATTGTTGATCATTTAAATTTGAGATTAATAGACACAAGATGTTTAAAAAGAAGACACTTTTCATCTTTGTCACCATGTCATTGGTTTATGTTGCTTTTTGTAATGTGAGATGAGCTGAACCTACAGTTGACAGGCAACATAATTGAAATTAATAATTGATGAAATAATTGGAGACTGATTGAATGACAAATGGAAACAATTTATGCACTAAACTCACCCGAAACAGTCATTCCAAATGAGAGGGGATCGGTTTATTGACTCATGAAACAACACATTACGATCGTTCTCGCAACGGCTTAGTTGACCTATATGTTTTCAAATCAAGCTGAAGCTTTGAAGTAACAGAATGAGATATCTTTCTCAAGGTTGACTAGTGACAGTCTATAAAAAATAACTTTGTGGCAGACCGTTGCTGCTATTCAGTTTGATGAAAAAGATAAATCCTACATTATGAGATTATCATGATAATACCTTTCCTTTTTCAGTTGTGAATTGATTTGGGAAGGCCTCTAGCCTGAAAGGTATATAAGAATGAAATCAAAGAATACTCCCGTAAAGTTCTGTTGTGAAGGGTATATTGTCTCAATGCTGCAAACCTGAAATATCGATTCCTGGATTATATAGGGCAAGATTAATTTGAGCTGTTGATCTATGAATTTGCTGTGGTCAGTGTTCATGTATGATCAACGTTCATATGGGGAATCTGGATATGACTATAGGTTCCCAGCAATCTATGCTTGTCGTAAGAGGCGTCTAAATGGATCGGGTCGTCAGGCTTAGTGTCTTTGTTTATTGCATGTCTCAATTGCTTGGATGGATGCTCATTATGTCAATAACAAGATTGTCATCTTTCACAGGCAGGGAGGTAAACTGACTATAAGAGTCCAGTTTCCACTCTTGCTAAATGAGGCTGGAATTCCGGAGTTATAGTTTGGCGTGACTAACGAGTCTAAGCATAGTCCAATTAAAATCCAATCAAAATCATAATCGACACATCCGGTTTGTAGACACCATGGTGACAACCGTGTAAATTCAGTGTTGCAGGAATTGCAAAACGTATATGTACTGTTAACTGGGTACTGATAGATGGTTTCCAAATCCTAACAAACGAACATCACTGAGCAGTCATCCCACCCGAAAAGCATAGAGAAAACAACTTGGTCAATCTTCTAAGCTCTTCCTTTAACCAGTTTAAGACATATAGCCAAACTATTATCAATAAAATATAGATGTTTGCATGGCCAAGGATGGACAGATTACTGGCAGTTCCCATTTCCGTCCCAGTAAGGATTTCTTTGTATGGTTCCATTGAACTAGAATTAATATGTACTGCCCCTACTCTTGCTTGCCCCGACACTAATGTTACATTCCTAAATCACTGCAGTTGACCTTGACATATTTCTGTGAGGATATGATGGCCCGCAAATAGTGAAAGGTTAGCCAGCACTGATCCCAGTGTCAGTATTAAGCTGGGTCATGCTTTCAATCAGCAATGCTTGTATTGAAAGTCAGTCAGCGATATTTGTTACAATCAGCTATCCAATGCCCCTGGAGTATTGCTGTTAACAGTTGGGTTTGTCCTTGTCCTTGTGGTGGAGGAAACAGTTATGGCACTTGATTTATTTAAACTTAATAGATGTATGAGTTTTCTTTTCACTTTCCTTGTTAAGCTGCAGTAGTCAACTTCCTTGATTTATATGAGGAGGAGGATTGTGTGGAAACGTATTAATCTGATGGATTTCCTTGTGGCTGTGAGAAATGTCATTTAAATATTTCTCAATCATCTTGATATTTCATCATGTGGCTGATTCACAGTGGTGGCTCTGTAATATTGCTTAAGTCAGGTCCATTAATTGAACAAAAAACCGCAAACCCCTGCTGAACTTTCATAACTTCACAGTGTGAAGACATAATTACATTTGCAAGTCACTGCATTGTACATGTTGCAGCTTGGCTGGTCATACATCAACCAAGTGTATGGGGTCCCTATAAGGGTAGACAACTTTGCCACACTGATCCTTCTTTCCATCCATCCATCCATTCATCAGTAAGGGCTGGTATATTACTGGTATATCGGTAAATTGACATTAATTCTCGCCGCGATATGTCTCACAAAATCTATGTCAACAACATTCGGAGCCCAACGATGGCAGTGTGGTCAGTTGTTTCAAATGTGAAAAGCAATGCTGAAGTGTGGAAGCACTTCAGTCTAAAACAAACGGATGACAAAATTGATAAAACAAATATTGCAGTCTGTTGTAAGTGAGCTTCTGAATTCAAAATTAAGAATTATGCAATATGTCATTATACGTATGGCAATACTGCCTTGTGCATCGTAAAATATTGTGATACACTTTGAACCTCCATTAACCATCCCTGTCAGGTAGCCACATATCAATGACTCCCTATTCATGCATGCACTTACTTAATATGTTTAAAAAGTAAAATATGAGGTTTCTGTTGATCATCTGATCTGAAGTGGAATTTGAAAGCCAGTTGTTTCCTGTTACAAGTTTAGTGAGTCTACTTCATTGTTCAGATACCCCCACTGGGAGTTAGAATAGGTCCCCAGCAACAAATAATTATAGTACGAAACGCCTTGATGATTGCATGTCATACCCTGATGGTGTTGATTGTTGTTCATACTAGCAATTACTTGTTTATCTGGTCCAGACCTCAATGTTTTTCAAGCCATTGTCATATATTGCTGGAATGTTGCTGAGTGCATCATAAATTTGGGATTTTACAAAATACCAGTTGGACGAGGTTGTGATGAATGTTAATTTACAGACTGATTTTTAATGAATAAAGTTGCTAGTTGAAGTCTAGGCTTGTTTTTTTAAACAACAGAATTTTAAACAAATAACAAGCTCATCAGCATGTTCACTGGGCAATGTACAGCATTTTAATGAGGTTAGGAAACCCGAGAAGTAAATTGTTCTTGTTGGCGTCACAAAGCAAAAATCACATGATAAGCTATGTTAATAGGATAGCGACTTCGAAGCCTTCTTTCATATTGATGCAAAGGAGTGATGATTAGTTATTATTGTGATCAGATTCTTGTCATGCAGGTGTGTGCCCGTAAAGATCCGGGGTAGAATAGGTCTTCAGCAACCCATGCTTGTCGTAAGAGGCAACTAACGGGATCGGGTGGTCAGGCTCGCTGACTTGCTTGACGCATGTCATCGTATCCCAATTGCGTGTACCAATGCTCATGATGTCAATCACTGGTTTGTCTGGTCCAGAGACAATTATTTACAGACCTCCATCATATAGCTGGAATACTGCTGAGTGAGGTGTTAAACAACAAAGAGAGAGACAATGTGGGGGCGGTGGATTCCATGGCAGTATGGATAGATGCTTTAACCACTGGCTTTCTGGCCCAGACTCAATTATATATACCCACCATGATCATGCATGATGACGCAGGAGTTAGTAATATTCCTAATGGCAGTGTTAAACAATATTCACTCGTGACATAATGCAGCATGCAGGTCAAATTTCAATTACTCATTCCTATGATCACTTCTGGAAACGGAAATGTGATATGAAAAATTTTAAAGCCACTTTTTTATTTGCAGATGCATCATCCTATACAGATGAAACCAGCCGACAGTGAGAAAAGAAACGGTGGGTTGAAGGCTCTTACTCGTTTGTACAGAACATTTGATTTACAAAGGCTCATGACCTGTCAGGTTTCTTTCCTTATAATGCATCACGATCTTGTTAAGGAATCCCACCAAATCTTCTATATATGTTGAGGAAGCTAAAGTTAAATTTAAATAAAACATAAACACATTTCTGTAAGGAATTTTAAAAAATAAGCCATACATGGCCATATATAGATTAAGAGGATAAAAACTTTGAAAATAATTTTTTGATTGTGTTTCACATGTTATGCATGTTTTTATGTAATGTGTGTCTTGTTTTGTTTGGAGAGAATTCCAGCCTCTTATTCCATTTCAGTAGAAGAACGAAAACTTTTTGTGGGGATGGTGTCTAAAAAATTAAGTGAAAATGATATACGGATGATGTTTGCTCCCTTTGGTACGATAGAGGATTGTACAGTGTTACGAGATGCAAATGGTGCTAGTCGAGGTGAGTAAGGGGTAGAAAAATCACGATACCACTTCAAAGCAGCTAAATCGAATACGTTACTATAAGAAAAGAAAATTCTTGGAAATGGAAATATGTTTCAGAAAAGTTCATTATTTCTCATGTTCTCATTAAGAGATGAGAGAAACAATAGTTATGCTTTTGCACACTGGACAAAGCTTTATGGGTAATGATTTGATTTTGACTTCTTGTGAATATTCAGTCTGCCTCTTGTCCGAAAACCTCAGTTGAATAAGAATTTGTTTCACAGAATAAGTTAAACTTTGGATGCTCCATGTTATTAACAAATCAACTGAAAGAATAGATTGACATATATTATTAAATTCTTTTCCTACTGACTTACATATGATACTGTGGAGTATTTTGGTGAAGTGATGGGTGCTCTGTTCATTCTATTCTTAGATGAGGATTGTGATGTCGTGTATGTCTGTAGGACATGTAGATAGCCTCTGTTTCGTGTGTGTGTTGCATTGTCATCTCTTTGTTCCAGGTTGTGCATTTGTTACATATGCCAATCGCCACAGTGCACAGAATGCTATCAAGAGCATGCATCACTCACAGACTATGGAGGTATGTGATTTTATTCAGCAAATCTGTTGAGCCATGGCTGAACCTGTTTGATGGATAGACATGGACACCAGTCCAAGAATAGTAACAATCTAGACTAGCTAGTTTTATCCCAAAGTCGAGTTATTTTATGTAAATACTAGCCCAAAATGAATGAAACAAAAATGTTATCTATGGTTACATTTTTTGTCAGTTTCTTCGAAATTGTAGCATAGTTGGAGCATCGAGAACTGGTTCAGAATTATTGCCCTCAAATGCTAGTCAGTGAGGACTACCATCATTGGATTATTACTTGTCCTCAGCACAATTTAGTTGTCCCGGGCTAGCGGACTTGTGGAATTTCGGAGGGTGTAAGTAATTGTTTCTGGTAGTCTTGACAATGTAATGGCATTATCATGATCATGACAATAGGCCTCTTATGAAGCCCACAACTCAACACCACAGACACTATTAACGCACCTTACATCCATCCCAATATCATATTTCTAGCAACACCATACATCTATAAGTTGTCAAACAAACTCATTATTAAAACTTTTTGAATTTTTTTATATATATATTTTTACTCATATCTAGCATGTTTCCCCAAAAACAGCTTATAGTCATACATTTTAATCTTGGTATTGAGTTACTTGGCCTTAACATATTCAAATGTATCTCGTTTCTGGCCAGTCTGCAGCTTTGCATTACCACAACCTGTTTATAAAGCAACATAAGTGTGTATTGGGTGGTCCCCGCATCTGTGTGTATTTACAATAGTGACACAGTCATGCTGATCGGTATCTCTGGCACCAGAGCCTGCCAGTGAAGGCTGAAGGCATAGATATGCTATACAGTTATGAGAAACCAGTTGGCTTAAGTATGAATGGGTTTTGGAATAATGTTTTTTTAAAAATTCATACTCAATTACTTCCTCACGAATCCAATACATTGCAATAGTGAAAGTGTCAAAGCTTTCATCTGTAATTTGGCTTTATTGCACTGAGAGTGTAAAAATGGGTTATTTCTGTTTTTTTCTCAGCTTGAAATAGAACCGAAAATGTCAACTATTTGGAGTCATAAATTATGTTTCATGTCGGGTATGAAAGGAGAAGTCACGGCAAACTGTGAAGAGAGTCACGATAATCTCATAAAAATCCAAGTTAACAGATCAGGGCAAAAGCCTCAGTAGATTGAGTTTCAGGAACTTCTGGAGCAATCTTATGCTGATAATGGATACACCAGGAGAAACATTTGGTGTCTGTGAATGGTGCCCTGCTGTGGGTTCTGTCATGGTCATTAGCAGAGGGTACACTCTGAATGATAACGCCATTCCGATGTTTCTACATAGTTGCTGTGATTTCCCAGTAACAAGGCTCTGAGCCTAACATTGTTGAGCAGGAACTGTTAGTATCTTGTACTAACCACAGAAGCACAAGGTCTGAAATGATGCTTCTAGCTGCTGCCAGTGAGGAGACACTGCAAACAAACTGAAACATTGTTATGGGCACTGAGGCGGGTTATGCAGACATGTGTTTTCTTAAGAGGAATTCCATGTTAAAGTAACAAAGCATAGCTAGTAGCCCAAGTCTATGGTTGTATCATTTCAGCAATGTTGGAGCTTCAGATTCATGTTGATAATTATCGGTTAAGCCTTGTGGCGATTCTGGGTTAGAATTGGTCCCCAACAATCAATGCTTGTCTTAGCAGAGACTTAATGGATCGAGTGGTCACATATGGTGATCAGTTCACGTGTCTTCACCCCCGGTGTCATTCGGTGATCAGTTCACGTGTCTTCACACCCTGGTGTCATTCGGTGATCAGTTCACGTGTCTTCACACCCTGGTGTCATTCGGTGATCAGTTCACGTGTCTTCACATCCCGGTGTCATTCGGTGATCAGTTCACGTGTCTTCACACCCCCGGTGTCATTCGGTGATCAGTTCACGTGTCTTCACACCCCGGTGTCATTCGGTGATCAGTTCACATGCCTTCACACCCCGGTGTCATTCGGTGATCAGTTCACGTGTCTTCACACCCCGGTGTCATTCGGTGATCAGTTCACGTGTCTTCACACCCCCGGTGTCATTCGGTGATCAGTTCACGTGTCTTCACATCCCGGTGTCATTCGGTGATCAGTTCACGTGTCTTCACACCCTGGTGTCATTCGGTGATCAGTTCACGTGTCTTCACATCCCGGTGTCATTTGGTGATCAGTTCACGTGTCTTCACACCAGGGTGTCATTCGGTGACCATGTGGGGACCTGGCGTAGAGTGTGTCCACTTGTACCTCCATGTCATGGTATTGCCAGGGGACCCATATTGTTTTCAGTCCAATGACCCAGCTTCAAGAATCACTACTATATTTGCATGGTTAAATGAGGCCAGTAGGAACTACATCATGAATTGTGGATGAGTTTGACTGTAGTTTGGTGTCTTTAATCAGGGTTCATGCTGGGCCCCAAAGACCTTTGAACATTGTTGAATTCAACAGCTGCCTTGAACAAAGTTGTATTTTTTTTCATTTGGCATTGAAAAATCCTTCACTTTCACATTTTGCCTTAAACGCAACAAATGTTTCTTAGACATTGCCTTCATTTATCGTTGTTTACGTTTCTTTAGCGTTGAAGCTGCTAAAGAAATGTTTCACATCAGGGCATTTTTTCTAAATACCGTAGTCTGAACCAAGCCTATTGCTCCCCCTGATGAATAGGGGCCGGTCAGGTAGCCTAGTGGTTAAAGCGTTCGCACGTCACACCGAAGACCCGGGTTCGATTCCTGACATGGGTACAATGTGTGAAGCCTATTTCTGGTGTCCTCCGCCGTGATATTGTTGGAATATTGCTAAAACTAAAAGCGGCGTAAAACCATACTCACTCACTCCCCTTATGAATACAATGTCAAGTCATAGTGTTTTCATTTTGGAGTTGTATTTGGCTTGGACTGGTTGTGAAAAGCTGTGTCTTCCTTGGGCCTTTCTGAACTGTGTTGCATACTTGGCAGTAGGAAGTTCAATATTCTCTTAAAAATAGAAAATTGGGCATGTATTATCTTATTGATTGAATGCAGATTCCACTGTGAAGAGTTAAAAAACAGTTCCTTTCGGTATGGGATAGCACTGTTTGATGTTAGTTAAAGATAAATGTAAGATATATACTTTGTGACATGTAAACATGGTAAATGAAGAGTATTACAAAAATATCCTGTCAGAAAAACATACTTCTCGTGCTTATGTTTGTTGTTTAAAAAACATTGTTTTGTTTGCTTTGAATAGTCAAGAAGTATTTGTGTACGACAGTTGTATGTACTGCCTGCCATAAGTAATCCTTTACACAGTGAGCGTACTATCTGTTTGAGATCATGTACTAAGTTGTACGCATTATTTATGACTGCTGAGTGGCTACAAAAGCTGTGTAAATACTGGTTCTTGGGTGCATGTGTCTTACTGAGGAGAGTGACGCAAGCAGTTACAGGAAATTAGTGCAGTGTCTACCAGGAACATGTTTCTATCAGATTCCTGAAATAGACGTACAAACCAACGAAAACCTCCTACAGACAGGATTTGTCTTAATTGATTTGGCATGAAGAATGAATGGTTGTTGAGAAGTGCTAGTTGAGTTTAACATGTACATTGCCTTTACATTGCAATTATTAAGATGAATGGTATTTAGTTTGATGAAGGGAATGTTCAGTGCCAGTTCTCATTTGTGTGAGAAATAAGCTAATCTTGAGGTGTCAGTGATGGTGTTTGATTCATTTTGTTTGTCTGTTGCAGGGTTGTTCCTCACCGATCGTTGTTAAGTTTGCTGATACACAGAAAGAAAAAGAGGCCAAGAAAATGCAGCAGATGACAACAAATTTGTGGAACCTGTCACTTGGGGGATTGGGCGCACTGGGGCCTCAGTATTTAGCTGTAAGTAGGGCGCTCAATGATGGCCCACTTGGGTTATACTCTGGCTGAAATCTTTAAAACACTTTTGTCTAGTACTGACACTTTGGCAAATATTGTTTTGTGAGATTGGGAAAGGGTGTCACATTGGTACTTCTTGAGTTTGATATAATGCATTATAAATGCATATTCTATGCATATTCTATGCTAGTAATTATGGTAATAATTAACGATTTAACACATTCAAGATGTTGCTTGATGCAAACTTTAGACAAGAACAGTTTTGAACACTTTGATTTCATTTTCAGTTACTACAACAAGCAGCTGCAGCAGGGAACTTGGGGATGTTGAATAACCTTGGCAACATGGGTATGTGGTCACCTTATCTTGAGGCAGTAGGGCCTATGTATCTGGACCCGTAAAGATTCCGGGGTAGAATATGTCTTCAGCAACCCATGCTTGCTGTAAAAGGCGACTATGCTTGTCGTAAAAGGTGACTAACGGGATCGGGTGGTCAGGCTCGCTGACTTGGTTGATGCATGTCATCGATCCCAATTGCGTGGATCGACGCTCATGATATCAATCACTGGATTGTCTGGTCCAGACTCGATTATTTACAGACCGCCGTCATGTTGTTGGAATATTGCTGAGTGCGGCGTTAAACAACAAACCAACCAACCAACCTATGTATCTGACATAGTATGTGGTCACCTTATCTTGAGGCAGTAGGGCCCCTATGTACGTTATGTAGAAACCCTATCCTGAGGCAGCAAGGCCTATGTACCTGATATAGGTATGTAGTTACCCTAGTTTTAGCCTGTAGGGCCTATTTACCTGACATAGGTATGTGGTTACCTATCTTGACGCAGTAAGGCCTATGTACCTTATGTAGGTATGTAGTATCCCTATCTTAGCCAGTAGAGCCTATGTACCTTACATGGCTATGTTAATGTTTGGTGTTGATAACACCATTTAGCAAAACCTGAGTATATTTGTGTGTGTAAAGCTTGGTATAAATATAAACATGTTGAATACAAAGCGTATTAATACAATTAACTACCAGTAGATATTTTGCTGGTATTATACATGCTGGACTTTGATTGTAATTGAACTGATTCTTGTGAGATGTCAAGGTCTAGTATTTTCAAACTAGTTGGTGAACTAGTTGGAATTGCTGTTGTTTTTCCAGAGCATTGTAACTCCGGCATCAACAACCTGGGAGTTCAGCAGCTCGTGGCCGCAGCAGCAGCAGCCGCAGCGGGCAATAACCCAGGTAGGTTGCATCCTCGTCATGCCTGATCTTCACACTGGAATGGATGTTTCTTAACCTTGTTTCAGCACCTTGCATACTGTACAATTTGAGTTGAAAGCACCCAGTTTCTCTTGTTTCAGTTGTACTCTAATAAGGTGTGAGAAGACGCAGGATCAATGTCATGTGACGGCTTGTGGCATGGGAAAACTCATGACATTGCTTACTAATAAATATTATGACATGATGGTAGTTGAATACCTAATAGTTAGTATGCTATCTTGTCAGTTTTAATGTGAATAAATTCATTCGTGTCAAGATGGATTTTAAGAACATTCTGCATGTTTGACCAGTGTGTCCCTATTTATAAGTTTCTTCAAAAGTCGTCTGAGTGATCTCCCCTGACCAGATACTGTGGTCTACTTTCTTTACCCTCGAGTGATTGGTGTGTCCTGAATTTCATTTTATGATTTAACATTTATTTCTCTATGGTAGAAATATTTTTTCCATGCCTGAAAAATTACAGTGGTATTTGTAAAATTGTGTGACCCTTTCCCCAAGTTTTGTGGTCTGGTGTGAGTGATTTTTTTTTCTTTCTTGATATATATAATTCAGTCATCTGCGGATGTTTCTTATCGGTTTACAAAGTCTTAGCTTTGGATTGATAAGATTGGTTATGAAAAAAGAAACAAGTTAATGAAGTACTGTTTTGTTTTAAGTAAATGAACACATTGAATGTTGCAGTGAAGTTGATTGTCAAGGGTCAAATACAAGTTAAATAAATTCCACTCAATGTGTCAAGACTTGAGCTTCTTCCAGCACCAAGAAGTGGTATCTCACGTGAATGCGTTTCAATGTGTAGTGCAAGAATTCTATTTTATTTTGCTTTGAGATGAGACTTTTCCAGCTAATTTTGTTTTTTTTTGACTGACTCTTATTTTGTGTGGGTGTGCCACAGGATTGCTGGCAGCACTGGCAAGCCTAAGTACAGGCAGTGGCTCCATGTCAAGTAACAACAACTGTAGCCCCATGCAGACTAGCACAACCTCAAATTCAAACAACAGTTCCTCAGGTATACCTGGTCGGTGGTCCATCGTCGGCCTGAAGCCCTCCGCCCGCAGCCTACCACATTGGTTGTGTTGTGCATGCTGCAGCTGAAACTCTTGCTCCTTCTATTTATTATCTGTTCATATTGTACTCCAACAATGTCCATGTCAGAGCAGGGGGAGCCAATCGGGGCAACTGGCGCTTAGCTGCATTGTGGCTGTATATGCTGTGTGTATTGTATATGTATACTCGGTTGATGTCTACGCCATATTCACTATGTATATCATGTCCTGTATGATATAGTCTCTGAATATGCTGTATGCATTATGTATATACCACATAGAGTGAATATGCTGTATGTTTTGGACATATATATATGCCATATACGGTCTGAGACTTTAGCCAGTAACCCATAGCCTGAGTCTAGTAAAATTCTGTTCGATATTCTAAACTGAGCTAATATTTCCATATAACAATACATTCTAAAGAAACTTATTCAAAGAGCCATGTTTGGGCTAGTAGTCTTGTAAGGTTTTGGAACAGACTGATATATGCTTTCTACTCTGAATATGCTATAGTTTTGTATATTTTGTGTTTGCTGTATAAGAGTAATGTATCTTATGTGCAATAATGTAAGTTTTGAAAAAATGTCTTTGATACCAATTCTGTAATTTAGTCACATACTGGATCAAAACTGGATCCAGATGTTTCAATGAGCCTTATCTTGTTAATAATACTTCACTAAGTTTGATGTAATGGATAGGAACTGGAAGCTTGACTGGTTTCAGTTTCTGTTTCAACTTGATCTAAAGTCCTGAAATATTTCCTAGTGTGTACCAGCAGTTGTCTCCCTCTGCCCTGACATTGACTGTGTAAATTGCACGTAGCGTTCCTTCTCGTGGTTTAGTTCACTGCAGTTTGCTGTGGATCACAATCTCTTGTAGCCTCACATCTTCTGTTGAGCTTATTTCACACCGGACAACACATCCCGGTTTGCTGAGTTACCGGCCCAGTGTTGAAGGGCTTTCTTTAGTGTGTATTGGCACTTAGTTACTTACTCTACAGTTTGTTGTTGAGATTGTTGCCAGCTTTTCTTTGTTTGTGATATATGCATGAAGACATAACACTTCCAGTTCCTCCAAGTGTAAATAATGTTCTATTGCAGCTGTGTGTAACATTTGCTGTACCTTGCATGAGAAATGTCATCTGGACAGTGCAGACTGCCTTTGTGTTAATATGACCACTTTGGTTGTGCATGAATCTACCAGTTAGGAAATAACTCAGATTTTGTGATATTAGTACCTATCTCTTTACAATATACCATGTCAGCTGATGTGTTCATTTTGACTGACATTGACAATATGTCCAGCTGATATCCGCAGGCATCTGATGTAGGCTATCCACAGCTCTTGTCACTGTAGACATCATCTGACAGGGTTTATACCTCGAGTTCTACTATAATTCTCACCCCTCTGTATAGTTGAAGGTGACAGTACACTAGAAATGTCCTCTCATGTGGAACCATAACAAACTCTAATTCACGGCTTGAGCTTAAAGGGAGATAACTCCATCTGGCTTACAGCACAGTGAAATGCAGTTAACACTACTACTGAAAAAGCTCCTTCTGAAGTTATCTTGTTAAGTTCTTGATTGCAAAGTTTTTGTTGACTATTTGACATCATTAAGCTGTGATTTTTTATGATAATCTAATATCATTGTTATAATCAGCTATGGTTTGGCATTTGTTTATTTTTCAGTGAATTGAAAAATTGAAATGAAATGATTTGAAAAAACCCAATGAAAATTAAATCTACCAAAAGAAAGTTACTTTTGCAACACTTAAAAAATAATTTGTTGGTATATCATGTTTTTAAGGAGAAGTTAAAAAAAGTTGATCTGATGGAAGCAGAATAGTTTTGTGAAAAACAATAATATGCCCTTTAATAAAACATTCAATCAGTTTGGAGTTAATCCCAACAAAGTAGTTTAGGATGTTAAAGAATGATGATATTTCTGTTTCAGTAGAAGCCCAAAATAATGTCCATTTACAGAACTTGCATGGTATTGCTGCCCTTGCAAGCTTAGCGAACAACCCAGGTAGGATATAATGCTGCAGATTGTACCCTGTTAACTAAGGATAAGATACATGAAAGAACAACTTCTTTCTTATGATTAAGGGCATTGACTCTCCCAATTGTAATAAAGAAGTTGTTTATCCATATATCTTATCCTTACTTTGTATTTTCACTTCAAGATTCCTCTCAAAGAAGTTGCATAATATTATCACAGAGGAAACAACGTGGAGTTGCATTTGCATCCCTTGTTTGTTCCAGGATCTGCTGATCCTGGGTTGGAATTTGTACTGATTATTGTCATTGGTTTGGAAACATCCTACCCATGCTTGTGGGTTTGAATATGAGGTCAAATGTCTGTTTTCATTTTGATTTTTCTCCTACTTTCTGCTAAGATGCTTTGAAACTGAGAAACTGTCCAATCTGCTCTCAAGGGAACCATTTCAACATGTCTTTAAAGGACATTGGGAGGGTGTTTTTTAATCTATTCCTGTCCAGTTCATTATTGTTCATTCATTCAGAAGGTGGCGTTTAATGGGGATTCAAGTCCTGTGCTGGTCGTAAGAGACGACTAAGTGGATCGGATGGTCAGGCTCAGTCACTTGGTTGATTATGTGTCATCATACCTCTAACGTGTGAGATGATGCTTGTAATATCAATTGGACCACCTCTGTGGTCTGGTGGTAAAGCATCTGCCTTGATGGAGAGTGGTATGTTGAGGGTTCAATCTTAAGCCCTGTCACACCAAAAGACATTAAAGGTGGTACTTGTCGTTACACTGCCTGGCGCTCAGCATTAAGGGGCTAAAACAAAGACTTGTCAGCTCGGAGCCCCATTTTACTTCACCTGTCAATTGCTGGTTTGTCTACCCCAAACTTGATTATTTACAGGCCCTGTCATATATCTAAAATCAACAAATCCTAGTTCAGGAACTGAAGTTCTCGTGGTTATTAGCTCTGACCAAAAGCAACATTAAGACTCAACTCACTCACTCACTCACTCACTCACTCACTCACTCCAAAGTGTACAAATACAGTTTGTGTGAGATGAACTACATCCTAGGATGTGTTTGTGAAAGGGTCATTCATACCTAACTACCCCGATTATGTTTTATCTAGGTTTGCCAGCACCATATCCTTGCTTGTGGGTTTCACCGAAGTGGTAAACATCTGAAACCTGCATTACTTGGGGCTTTCCTTCCACAGTAAGCTGGCAAGCCGTGATATAACTTGAATAATGTTTGACAGCGGTGGTGAACCCAACTCACTCACTCATCCCTAAGTAAAAACTAATACTGATTGTTCCTGTTGCAGGCACACTTAACACTCTGGGTGTACAGAACGTAGCAACATTAAACCAGTTGGCGGCAGCAAGTAACAGCACGCCCATGTCCACGGGGAACAGCATTTACAATGGTAGGTACAAGTTGACTACGTAGGTGTACAGGTTGGTTCTTGCGGACACAAATATTACGAACTCCCTAACTTGATCAAAGTGCCCTGCTCCTTGATATAGGACTAGGCTTAGTTGGGCAGTTCTCATCAGTCCAAGCAAGTTTGAATCAAGTCATACGCTTCATATCACATTTTATGAAGTATGTCAATCAGGTAGTAAATGATTATCCTTATTACATAGACAATGCCTCTGTGGATTCCGGATTAAGATTAGATCGGATGGTGAAGTTACGAGACTTGGTTGATGCATGTCATTGTCATTACTCCCAATGTAAATCACTGGATTGACTCGTCCAGACTATTTATCAAGGACAAAACAAGATAGACCATCAATCATGGTTCTTGTAAGGGTCAAGTCTATTTGCAATAAGTTTTGAATCATTTTGTCTTAATTTATTCAACAATTATCAATTAATGGAACTTGATTTTTGATAGGTTCGTGTTTGATGTGTATAGAATATTGCTAATGACAATTTGGATGGGATCCTACCATGAAAGTGTATACAGTGTGACAGCTATCTAAGAATTTGTAGTTGCGTCCATACAAATGAGATTTAGAGTTACAGGAAGCCACAAAATAGATTGCCAATAATATGATGTGATAGTTCTACATCTGTATGTGACCATCAGTTTGTGAAGTTTTTAGTAGCATCCAGTATTGTACAACTTTTGACAACCATACTGATGCCATCAAGGTCATACAGATTTTTCCAGTATCAGATGAGAGGAAAACAAATGTTGGGGGTTTGAATATTTTTTTCATTTCTGTCTCCTATTTTCTTCTGAACCTACATTTATTTTCTATCCCAGCATTACAAGGAAAAGGTTTACCTTTTGGTAAGGGAGTATGTAGATATTGTGTGTACACTCACCAAGGGGAATGTACTAGACGTTGATGTGTAATAGGGGAATCTTTACATCAATACAAGGGGAAGCACATGCGTGTATGCACACAAGCTCCACTTGGTAACGTGTTGTCTCATGTCTGATGTTGTCTCAGAGAACTGTAACAGGTTACTCATTACATTATCAATAACAACCAATGATGTGAAAAAATAACCTAAACTGTTTAAGTTATCATGGCTATTCAACTTGATGATCGTCCTCCATGATGCTATGTCAATGATTGCAGACAAGTATTTCAGTGGGTTAGTAGTCTCCATACTGGCAAATGAGTATGATATTACAAAGTAGACACAATTTATGGATAACAACTTGTTTATTAACTGAAGTTGTTATCCATAAATCGTCGCCTCTTACGACAAGCATAGTCGCCTTTCAGGCAAGCATGGGTTGCTGACGACCTATTCTACCCCAGATCTTTAAGGGTCGCATTACTTAAAGTTGACCAATGGCAAAGTAGACACAATTTATGGATAACAACTTGTTAATTTACTGATAAATTGTCATACGTCGACTTTTAAGTAATGCGACCCGTGAAGATTTGGGGTAGAATAGGTCTTCAGCAACCCATGCTTGCCGTAAAAAGCAACTGTGCTTGTCGTAAGAGGCGACTAGCGGGATCCGGTGGTCGGGCTCGCTGACATGGTTGATGCATGTCATTGTATCCCAATTGCGTGGATCGATGCTCATGATGTCAATCACTGGATTGTCTGGTCCAGACTCGATTATTGACAGACCACCATCATATAACTAGAATATTGCTGAGTGCGGCATTAAACAACAAACCAGCAAACTCTAAGTAATGCCTATCAAATGATTCTTGAGTGATGTTAAGTGTCCATAACGGCAAATGATCTTTGATATTAGTGTCCATGATGGCTGGCCAGTATGATATTAGTGTCGATAATGGCAAATGAGTACATGATATTAGTGTTCACAATGGCAAATGAGAATGATAACACAGTGTCCATAATGGCAGACCAGTATATTAGTGTCCATATTGGGAGACGAGTATGATTAGTGTCCATATTTGGTGGCCTGTAGGATATTATTGTGATAGCTCATTCCAGTCATATTACTTACAAAATAGATATAGCACTTTCCATGTCTATCCATGTTAAGCAATCATAGATACTGCTGTCTGTAAAGAGACATTAGAAAGGAAATCCTCCCGGTAAAAGGGCGTTAAAGTAACAATAGATATGTTTTGTAACCTTCATGTTGTTAAAATCTCTGTTGTAGTTGCACTGACTATATAATGATAAATAATGATGAAAACGTCATCAGTTTCAACTTGATTCCTTTTCTGACAGTTGATGCAAGTCATGGATGTAGACAAACAGAGTAACCATTTGTTGGTTATGTAAGGGCATGGTTATGAAGTTATTTATGTAAAAGACACATCTAAATGACTAAAGAAGGTTAAAGCTCTACTGAAATACCATCAAACACTATGCCAATTACAAAGGATTTTAGGCAAAAATATTCTTAATATCCTTGACACAATAACCTTAGATACAATAATAAAAATGATACCTTAACAAGTGTATTTGCACATTTTATTATGTCAACATACCACATAAATACCCCTGTATTTAGTCGACCATTAAAGTTTGTTTTATTTCACAGTGAGACAGGATAATTTGTTTCATTGTTTTTGTAAAGGTGTTCCTGTTACGAAACTCTCTCTCTTTTCACAGGCAGCATGTCTGGCGCAACAACAACCAGCGCTGCCTTGGGTGGCATGGGTATTCCTAGCCTGTCAGCCAGCAACATGTCTGGTATCTCGGCCCTCACACAGGGCGTCAACGGTGGCATGAATGGCCTAGGTTCCACCTCCAACCCCCAGGGCATTGACGCCTTGAGCCAAGCCTACACTGGTATCCAGCAATACGCAGGTTTGTCAGGTTTAATCACTCAAGGTAAAGGTTCGTTTCTTCATTTTCTACTTTCATTTTGCAGGTGTGTGCCCGTCAGTGTCCGTACATCCGCGTGTCCACTTGTTCGTAGTTTTTGTCTGTCACCCCGCCGACCTGTCAACTCTCCGATAGTGAAGAAACAACCTGAACCTTTATTATTCTGTTCGATTGAAGACGAATTCATTGATTACAATATATGTTTTTCTCCTGCACCTAACTGTTAATTTTCTGAGATAACGGATTTGGATTTTGCACCAATGTCTGCAAGGACCAACATTGCCAACCTATATTTGAGTGATCACTAATTCTGCATTGAATCTTTACCATTGATTATAAGCTGAATTGGAAGCATGGATCCAGAGTGACGCTCACACAGATGCTAATGGCTTGATAATGCACTGAAAGTCTTTGAAAATCTTGGCTTCAAATCCTTCACACCTGGGAACCTAAAGCTGAAGCATGTAGTTAGGAACACTGCTGTGTATGCATGGGTTTGGGCAGCGGATTAGTATGGCAGTGTGAAGAGGTACTGAAGGTGTAAGCAGGATAGGTGGCAGGTCTATGCTATGCTGTGTTTGATCTAACAAGTCACACACTAACTGCTGCAGGCTTCTGCTTACCACATTGCAGAAGGAAGAATCCGGAACCAACTCTCCACTGTTGGTCTTGATATGCCAGAGCCAGGTATAGGGGCATCTCTTAAGGAGATGCTGATACGGATGTTGACAGTCATTGAGGAATATCTCGATTTATATTAGGGGAATTTTCAAGTGGCATGTTCTGTTAATAGTTTGGTCGATGAAATGTAATAATCGGTTTGTTCAGTTATATCTTGTCCTGATTCTATTGAAACTTTTGGATTAACATTTGACAAAACTGGCATTCATGCTGTTGAAGAGTTGGCTCCGATTCTGAGAGAGGTAACATGGCGGACTTAGCCATCTGCTATTGAAAGTAGCAGCCTGCATTTTATCCTTGGAATGGTGGCATCAGCTGCTTTGTGTCTGAAACCAACACTTCAATAACCTACATTCCTTGTGTGGAGGACAGTTTGCTGATAAGTTTGGTTATGTCCCTTGTTTGATAAAGACATTTTGAGGAGTTTGATAGTTAAGCTCAAGGAGGCTAATGGGAGCTTGAGATGTAGGACAACTTCAGTTTGAGTGAACTCTTTTTCTTTCTTTTTTTTAATTTTATTCATTTTGATTTCATGAATGCATTGTGAATGCTTTTTTGTTTTTCCCTGTTGATTAACATCTGCACCATGTTGTCTTATGCACATTCCCCCCTCAACTTACACATAGTGTGTCTGGTTAAAGAATAAGCATGTAGGGTCTGTGTTTTGTACAGTATAGAGGCTAAATGATTCAGTGATTATATTGAAACCTTGCATGCAGGACTCGTCTGGATTAAACGACACAAAATAGTAAACAAGGTTATGACTTTAAGTGAATGTTGACATTTGTCAGTTATAATATCTGTGGAAACCTATCTGCCATTTGGATTTCCCCACTATTTACATGTACACATCATTAACTGTCTGGTAAAAAGTGGTGTGTAGTTTTGAACTGGAAAAAGCGTTCAAACATATTTGGTACTTTGGTGCATTTTGTACTTTTTTACGTAGTTACTTAGCAACTTGTTTGTCCAAGAAACACATTTCAGCACAAAAAGTCGGTAGAAAGAGTGTGAGCAGTCTCATGACAAGCACCTCTTGGCCATCTCAGTGACTTCTTTTAGGATAATGACAGTGTTACAAGTTTAAAAATCACCTATATTGTTATTTTATTTATTGGTGTATTCACATATTTGTAAAGAAAAAATACCCCGTAAATAAAGGGCATCACAAGTCAAAAGCTATACAGGGTCAAAGGGAAGCAACTCCTACATTTTCCACAGCTTTTTGTTCATGTGTCAAATCCTGGGTTTCTTTGTGTTCATTTGTCTTGCTTTTGCTTCTTTTTGTCACTTTTTTATGCTTTGAGTTTGAGATCTAACTGTCTGAAATATGTATATTCATTGAGTAACTAATCTTTAAGTATTACTGTCATGCATGTAATGGCATCGCTGACTGTACATGACAAGACCCTCAGAAGTAAAACATTATTGGCAGATAGCATTGGTTGCTGGTCAAACTCATCACCTTGTGTAAAATGTGTAGCACTCTCAAAAAGTGAAGTAAAAAGTGTGTGGTTCTGATTTAATTTAGACTGGTTTTATGAACAGCTTGCAAACATTTGAAAATAATGCATTTGCTGTTTACACTCCCTATGCTTGAATTGGTCTTCTATCAGAACTCTAATTATTACAAAAACATTTAGCCACAACTCACAAATAACTTTTGACATCTTTTTAAACTTCACATAGAGTTGCTGTTTAGATTGTTTATATTTTCACTTTATTTATCCTAATTTGAACACAATTAACACACGACTACCTTTTAGCTTCTAAGTAGTACTTGTACATGCAAGCAAATACGTTATTAAGCATGTTTTCCTTTCCATTTCAGCATCTTTCCCCAACGCTTTCAGCAGTCCAACTGCAGCAGCCCAGCTTCAGCAAGCTGCAGCCTCACCCGCAGGGAAGCAGACTGAAGGTGAGTTTCTTCTCTTGATGTTCTTCTCGCAGTCTATGCTTCACTGATGTAAGGTTCCTGCAAATAGCTGCAAGACTGCTGAAGTAGCATCTTGCAATATTAACTTTTGAGTACCTGAGCTTAAGAACCATCTCAATCTGTTGTCAATGTCAGATGAATGGAATAATTTGTCATCTGTATGTGAAAAGGTGAATTTATGACAGACATGAAGTTTGTCCCTGACGTCCTATGTATTAACCATGTTGCACACTAACATCAAAGTGTGGGGTGGTTGTCAGGAAGAACAAGTGACATTGGTAGAACTGTTGTAACACTGTAGCATTTTTGGGTTTTCCTTGTGTGGCTCTCCCAGCACCCTGCTTCTCTCTGCTTGGATAACTCACTATGTTCTGTCAGAGCCCTATGCCTTGTTTCCTTGCTCTCCTCTACACAAACACACAACATTCCTCATTGGGAAGGTCCACTGGAGCAGGCTTAATTATGCCAACCTGGTCGACGTTCTAGTCTGTGTCAAACTTTTACCAGCATAAAGCCCAAACTTTTCCGTCCTCATTTTCAGAAGATGTTGTCCCGAAATAAATATGTGTTGACTCTGCGTTCCCTGGCTCCATGTAAATCATGTTGAATACTGTAATGGTAGTATGGGTTGTGTAGAGGTTTTGGCAGTGACAACCAGTATTAGATTCTCATATATTTTGTGAAGACATGGCTACTGTATTTTATTTTTGCATGAACTCGATTTGCTAAATGTTTTTCTTGTAGTTTCGTTTTTTTCTTTTGCGTCTACTTCTGTGAGGAATGCAGTGTATCTAGTGGAAACATGCAGGTTCTTACATCAAATTTGTTGTCAATTATATCTTCTGTGGCACAACTTTCTGAATTCTCCTGGGATGTCCTTGTGGTTAATGTATTTGCACATCCTGCCAGAGATCCAAGTGAAGTCCCCAAGATGGATATATGTTTAACCCATTGATCCTCGGTGTCATATTTATATGTGCTAAAGTGACATAAAATCTCTGTGCAACCTCTTTTTCTACAAGTTGTAAAGTTCACACAGTTACGTTGCCCCTTGACAAGGAATATAACTAATCATTCCCTTTTAGTTGGTGTTTTTAAACATCAGGGAAACATTTTAAACAAGGCATTAGTTAATGAACATTGTAATTAAATTGTTTCTTACAAGCATAATCATTAGAATTGTCCATTGATTTCCTTGTGAGAAATTCCTTTGACAAAAGGTTTGAATTGTAAACTGTGTACCTACCCTGACTTCAGTCTTCAGCATGCATGATGAACCAAGTAGTCCAAGGGTTGTCATTCTTGTGTATCATTCTTCCAACCTCACAATATCAGTTGTTCCTCTCCACTACCCTCTTAGTCTCTCTCCCCGACCCTAGAGAAATAAAAGTTAAAAATGAGTCCAACTCAAGTCTGAAATGATTTGGCGAGTCTAGATTGCCTCAGTCTAGGGTCTGTCCATACCTGCGGGGCCCACAAGCGAGATTCTGTTTTGTTTTAATCTGTTAATCTTCTGTCCAATGGTGTTTACAGCTGATGTGGGTGACCCCCACTGACACCTCTGGAACCCTCTCTCCCTTGTCTAAGCTTTATGAATGCCAGCTGTGGGAGCTCCCAATTACACAATATACTGTGTTAAACATTCACAGATACATTTTCAGTGGAATCCAGTAAGGTATAAGAGGCAATTCTGACTGCACTTTTTAGGATGAATATGAAGCAGATCCATCCAAATCAGAAAAGAGTTATTCTGTGTACTTGAAAGGAAAAGATGTTATTTTGTTGATCAACTGGAAGTGGAAAGTCACTAACATTTGAAATTGTATCATTTTAATACAAAGAGCTCGTAAGCACAAGAAAGCTACAGTCTTGGTGCCACAGGGGGGAGAGAAGGGATACCAAGGGAGGTAGCAGCTGCAGGGAGGGGTCAGAAATTTGCCGTACGACTAGCAGTGGCATGTAAACAGAAATGAAAGTTGCCATTGACAAGATTACAGAAATTCCAACAAATTAAAGCTTTGCAGATTTGGTTAGTCCCTGAAATTCAGGATTGTTTTGGGTTCCATTTTTATTTTATGTTTTTTATTTTGTAGATATATACTTTTTGATAAGATAGCTCTATTTCAAGGACTCAATATCAGTCTACTCCCCTCTATCCACCCCCGTATATTTAACCAATAATTGGTAGAGTGTCATCACGTTGCTTATGGGGAGATAGTAGACCTACCATTTCTAGGATGCTTGGTCAGCTTATGCACGTACTATTGGTTTATTCCACTCTATACCCCCATGTTTTCAATCATTAATTGGTGTGTCCTCACGTTGCTGATGGGTAGATGGTAGAACACCCATGGCCCAAGTTGCTTGGTCATCTTACATTGCACTTGATATTGGTGAATTCCCCTTAATCCAACTGTGTCCCTACATAAGTTATTAGTGGTGTGTCCTAAGGTTCCTGACATTTAAACAAACATCTATGTCTCTTATCAATCTTCTTTCTTTATCTTTCATAGTTGGTTCTTGAGACCAATATAAATGTTTTTACCTATCATCTTATTGAACAGCCCATAACAAATAGTAGCTAAATCAGTTGAACTTTCCTCAAGAAGCAAATCGTCAAAGACAGCAAGATTATGGAAAGAGAAGATTGTTTTGCCATAGTATCAAAATATGGAAATGTATGTTCTCTTTGAATATTTACTGCCTTAGTAAAAACACAAGCACACCCCGTGAAAGAAATTAAGATGGTGATCCTATTTTTAGTGGGTATTTTAGCTGTTTGGCCCTCCATGTGCCTGTTGTGGGAGTGTAAGAGGGGTGTCCACTTAATGTTGGTGATGGGAGTGTATGAGCGGTGTGTCTCTCCCCCCTCTGATGTTGATGAGATCGTAAGAGAGTTGTCCGCCACCCAGATGCTGATGGGCGATCAAAACGGGTGTCCTTCCCCCCCCCCCTCCTGACGGTGATGGGAATGTAAGAGTGGTAGTTTGACGTGGTGTCCGTTGTGTTATAGGAACAGAGTGGGGACTTTACACTGCTAGTGCAGGGGAAGATCACAGCAGTAGCTTTCAAGGGAAGGCCTTGTATCAGCTTTGTGGACTTTACACCAAAAATTACGGTAAATTAGATGCCGGTAGATTTTAATCTAGAAGGGTTGTGGGAACGAGATTAGGGTTTTTGTTGTAGATGGTATTTTCTGTAATTTCCCTCATGTTTTTATATTACTGACAACAGCTTCTGTCTTTGTGAACTTTTTCTATTTCTTTCAACTTTCAAATGTGATTAATCTGCACTTCTTTAAGCAATAACTTGCACTGCTTTAGCCATTGTTACATTGTGCTTTATCTGTATGTGGATTACACTTCAAAAAAAATTTCTTGCAGAGACTTAACATTCATTAACACATTTTAATCTTTGGTGAACTTCGTTTTCAAATTTGTAAAACTAATTATCGATCATTGTGATTTTATGAAGCTTCTGTCAATATGGTTTTATAGACAGTAAATTGAACATGTAATAGTCATTTGAATTTTGAAGTTTTGAATTAATTTAAATTTAAGAAAAACGTGTAGTAAAATTCTAAAGAATACTACCAATAGTGCAACATGAAGATCCATTCCATGCCCACATACAGATTGGTTCACCCAGCTGTCTGAAGTTTAATCCATATTTCTGCTGTGCAAGGTGAGACATGTCATTTTCCACGTGGGTGCTGTGGTGTGCTGACAAGTGTTTGAGATACTGTAGATATATCATAAGCAGCTTCGGTTTCAGGCCCAGAAGGAGCCAACCTCTTCATCTATCATCTCCCACAAGAATTCAGTGACCATGATTTAATGCAGATGTTTGTGCCGTTTGGAAATGTGATCTCAGCTAAAGTTTTCATTGACAAACAAACAAACCTCAGCAAGTGCTTCGGTAAGTGATGAAATGTTTGAGGACAATATTGGTCTTGATGAACAGCTCTGGTGCTGTTTAGTACTGTGTGAAACTTTGACCATTAGTCCCAGTCTAGTCAAGTTCCTTTAAGACTTGGCTAATGATGATCCTTTAGTTAAGAATACGGTTACATTGATCCAAGAAGATCCGGGTGAGAATTAGTCTTCAGCAACCCATGCATCGTGTGGTCAGACTTGCTGACTTGGTTGATGCATGTCATTGTATCCCAAATGCTTCGAGTGAAGCTCATGGTGCCAATTACTGGATTGTCTGGTCCAGACTAGATAATTTACTGATGGCCATCGTATAGCTGGAAAATTGCTGAGTGTGGCTTTAAACAAACAAACAAACAATTTGAAACAAATAAATCCAGTGGGAGGCTAAGGCTAACTTGGCTGCAGTTCGCAGTGCAGAGTTAACCTAATGCATGCCAAGATAATATGATCCTGGCTGGAACTCAGGTTGACCTCGATTGTTCCTGCTCAGTGACCACCAGACCCGTGGTAGTGGAGTTTACCAAAGTTGTAAGTGTTGAGGACTTGCATCACTTTAGGTTTTCTATCCCCATGAAGCTGAAATGTGATATAAGTCAAATAATGTTCAAAGCGGCATTAAACCAAACTCACTAAACAATGTTGAAAGATTTAGCTAGTTGACTTGGGTGTTTCTGGCACAGCCTATGACCAGTTTTGTAATTTCAAAATCTATCTCCACACAATTGTGTAACATATGATCCCAGTATTAAGCCTTAGTTATGACAGTTTCTCTGTCTGAGAACTGTAAGTAGTGACCCAACTATCCCCTGATGCAGGTTTTGTGAGCTACGACAACCCCATGTCAGCACAAGCAGCAATACAGGCCATGAACGGGTTCCAGATCGGCATGAAACGCCTCAAAGTCCAGTTAAAGCGTCCAAAAAACGACAGCAAGCCCTACTAGCTAGCTGATTGTTAGCACGGTGAGTACCCTCAAGGTAGGAGCTTATCAATAAATGCCATGCTCACTGTCCTCACTATCCAGTTTGACAGTTGAGATACCTGCGTGAAACCTATGGTGGGTGGTCAGAGAGGTACATGACAGTCTGAACGTAGTTGGTGTCTAGAAGAAGGGACAGTTCTCCATGACTTATACTCGTATACACTTCTGTTTGTGACTCTTGTCTGTTTCTATGATTTTCGATATGACAGTTTTGAAATATTCCCGACACTTATTGTCATTGTAGGATTGTCAGATATACATACTGGAACTGGTATGTATTTTTTACTAGTGGATTTATGAACTGTCCTGATACTGTCTCCGATTGTCCTAGTAAGATTGTCATCTAGCTCCGTGTTGCCGGTATCTGATGCCTGCCCACATTGACATGGTGTGGATAGTGATGTCCTGCAACAGTGTAGACAGCAGAGATGGGCCTTGCTGTTTGTTGCCCGTGGCGGTCCATCTTCAGTGTTTTTTGTACCCCCTGTTTGTCCTGTCCTTATGTATGCTCTGTCAATGAATCTTGGCCCCATTAATGGCATGCGTTGTCTTGGTTCAGGAAAAATTATTGTTCTCTCTGTTGGGTTATTTGGGTATAATGTTCGCCAAAGTGGCCGAGTACATTACTCTGAAGTAAGTAGTAGGTTAATGCTTTCGAAGATATGTTATATGAATAGTGGGTGAATATATATATATATATATATATATATATATATATATATATATAGGATGAATGAAAATCACCAAACAGGGATACACTTGGAAGTTTTTAGCATTAACGAAGATCATGTCAAGACATGACACCTTTTGACAGTGGATTGATAGGAAGTAATCGTGTTTTATCATCTAGCTTCAATGAGCTGTGAATTGGGAGGATCTATTACAAATAAATCAAGGACTGTCACAAGTGAAGTTTTCACATTGGTGAAGATCATGTGAAGACATGACCAGTTTCGATATTGGATGGATTGGGACTCATGGTATTTTATCCTGTCTAGCCCCTGTTATCTGAATGGGGAGAATGTGATCGATGAGATCAAGCCTGAACTGAATAAATGTTGCCGGAGACAGGTTATGTTGTGTGTTAGGTTGTCCTGTACGGTCTCTCCCAATGCTAGCCTCTCTGCCATCTGTTCGTCCATTTCTCCTTGCTCTCTGGCTTCTGTCTGGCCTTTGTGTTTTCCCTCATGCCCCTGCTGCTGTAAGCCATGAGCTCCAAGACCTGGCTCCATCTCTCTCTCTAACTCGCAGGACTCATTCTGTTCTTAGTCCTCTTCACTTCCCATTCACTCAAAATCTATGAACCTTGGAGTTGTGTGGAATGACTACAGTGGCCATTAACAATATTTCAAGAAATAGTTCCTATGTCAATGACATGTTTGAACTGTTTGAAAGACATGCTAAGCTGTACATGATTCACTAAGCTATCCAAATTGTTGCTGTTTGATGCATGTTATGAAAGATGTTTTGTACGGCATGGGAAGGTTTCTGGTGTTTGTGTGGTGTGTTGTCTGTGTGGTATGTTGTGTTTGTGTTGTATGGTGTGAAAACGTCCAGAACACATTTGAAACTATGAAGGTGTCACTCATTTAATGCAGTTGATACAAAACGTTTTCATCGAATAATTGTAGGGGTACATGTCTACTTGTGAACATACAGAAATAAACAAATTCTTCAATGTGATTTTAACCTCTTTTTTTTGCAAGAATAAGTTCCCCAATCATGACACTATTCTGTTGTGTCCCTTTCCTTTGTGAATCCTTAACCATCACTTCTGTTAATCAAACAGTATGACCCCATTTAAACAAAGGCCAGACTGACTATATCCAACTGCTTGGGGCAATGTTTTTAATTTGTTTTCTTTTTGCTTCTTTTCTATGTAGATGACCGTGCCGTGCGTCGTGGCGTGTTACCCATGTTGCCGTGCTGTCCTTCATGTCTCCTCAAACAAATGAGTTTGCCTGTCACGTAAATAGCTGTTGTCACTGTAGCCCGCTAGCTTCCTCCAACATCAACGATTGGTTGATTCTCTCGCCCGACCGACCGACTGACCCTGACCTGGGGTCAAGGTTAATCCTTCCTAAGCAATGTGATCAGCATGGGTCTGGGCTACAGACTGCTGAAAGTGATAAATAACTGTGGTTGGGCGAGAGAGGGAGATGTGGTTTGTTTTATTCAAGTTCTCGTCCAAGGTGTACATGTTTCTGTATTGGGGTACCATTGTTGGGCGACATGATAGAGATGGTGGCACTGCCTGCAAGACGACCGCGGAAATGTGTTCAGTGATTCAAGCGATATCACCCATCATTTTGGTGAAGGAATTGTATTTGATTTTAATTTTGTTCTTTTATGCTTATTAAGACTGCAGGGATTACTTGTATCAAGTTAAAGGTAGTACAACATTCAGCCTTAATCGCGCTATAGCCAGTTCTGAAAATGATCTGTGTCCACATATATTGAATTGAATATCCAAAGAATGCATATTGGATAGAGATTTCAGATATACAGTTTAGATGCTTTGTTTGCTTGCATTTAGCCCAGAGGAAGTTTCATACCAATTGTTTCCATTAATATTCCATAAGCCTGTCTTGCCATTGTATTTGTTTCAAGCAACTATGGAATCCTTACAGTATTACTGTCTCCTCAAAATTTACACTTTATCTTACTAATCCCCAAACTTACACACTTTGCCGATCATATATACACATTAGTTACTACAGGAGAACAACCAGAACAGGACTCATATTGAATGAAGCCAAGATGGGACAATGTTCCATGGCTATATGTGTGTGTCAGAAGCCTATCCCTGCAGTCTTATGATCCACCATGAATTGTTATGCTAGACCTAGGCCTCTGAGCCCGTAGTAAGGGTAGTTGACTGCTATGTGGATTCTTGCTACTCCAGGCCTTACGCTCTGTACCCAGATACATGGAAACTGTTTCAATGTAGTTCATTTTATTTTCAATTTATATTTTAACATGTTTACTATACCAAAGGGATCATTGTTTCTAATTCATGTTGTTTCATGCTGTGTTTCATTTCCATGGTGGTTTGGAGTCTTCGATATTCAAGCTCCATTTTAGTTAATGTCTCTTCATGACAATGTGGAGAATGTTTGCATTTAATATTATTTGTCTCATGTACATACGCATTAGTAGGTGGGAAATGAACCTGAGAACATATTCTTGAAGTATTTATTACAAGGAGAGATTGTCATCATGTTACTATACGTATTCAGAAGCTTGTATCCTATAATACCATGAAACAGGAAGGGGCTCGTCTCACAGAAACCTGCTTGATTACGTATGTCAATAATTTGTACAACCATAAAACATTCAGATTGATATAACAAAGGCCCTTTGTTTAATATATTTAAAACATGTTCAAATTTCTTGCTGTTTCATGGTCGAAGCATTGGGCTAAAATACCAGTACTTGTATGAATTAAAAAATAATTCTTTGCAGATTGTATTATCCTGTATAGTATGTGAACAAGACCCTTCCTGTGTCTGTCAATTCCCTGCTGCAAAGGTACCCCATTATTTAGTAAATGCAAGAGTTAGACCTTCTTGACTTGGTCGTCTAACAACAAATGCTGCCTTATATTGTGAAGGAGAGGAACATTTTAGACATGTAATGTACTTCAGTTCTTTCTCAACAAAGTGATAACTTGTTTGCAGTGTTCGTTCTTTTTTTTAAATGAAAAGTTGTTGATGTTGATCGAGTTTTCTTGTTACAATGTGTGAAAATCAAAAATTAATCTCATTTAAATGTTGTGGAGTTTTCCCTTTAAGTGAAAGTTTGTTTTTGAGGACTGTATTTACTGGTGTTGAGTGAGTCGTTTGAAATCATATGCTGAGTAGATTGGTGTGTCTCGTTATCTGCTCGTTGAGGCAAAATAGCCTTGAACCTTAGACAGTAGCTTGGGGGCGTCCATATAACTCTTGAACTTGTAGACATTATACATTTTCAACTTTTGTAAACATCTATTCATATTTATGTCAGTTTTTTTAAAATGTAGATGTGGCACATATGTCGCCGAAATACTTGATTGTTTGTGTTGAAAATTTAAGACTTGTTAACATATCAGTTGTGTTTAAAATATTTTATAGAAGTATTTTTCATTACAATGCTGTCTCATTGCTTCATTTCCAGAATCAAAAGTACTAAATCATGCATTGCAAGACGAATTAAGATGTAAATGTCAAATTTTGTTCACCACTTCCATTTTGTGTGCACTGTTGAATATGACCAAGTGTGACCAGCCGAGAAAACTGATGTAAACCCAAGTGAATGTTCTATGTAAGCAGCAGACAATCAGAGGGTCAGGCTAGGTCAGAGACATCGTCGGTAGGAATATATCCAAATTACTTTAGTGGTATCTAGTCATAAGCTGACCCAAAAAGCGATCTTTATGGAAAGAGTGATATTTATTATGTTGATGTTTTGTTAACTTGATTAAAGTCATACTTTGCAAACTTGAGTGTTCATCCTTTTGAGCCAATCAAAGATTAATGCATGGTTTATGTGTAAGTTCTGTAAAAATACCTCACAGTGTCCTTCCTTCTGTAGCTTTAAACTATTTCCCCGAACTTACAGGCTGTTCTTGTTGTGTTTCTGAAGGTTACAACGGTAGTACAGTTTCTGTTTCATAATGGGACTCTGTTATATATACTACTTCCAAAAGTCCAGGATGCCCCGATTCTTTCATATCACTATAGTTATTCTGTCATGGCATGACAGGTTCGTTATTGTAATATGAAGAAATTGGATGGTCCTAACTTTTTGTGTAGTATACATTGGTCTTGTTTAGTCACATACTTGCACACGAGTTAATGTTCTCTATAGCTGCTTGCCTTGCATGCTACATAGTTGAACCAAAGAGTAGACTTAGCTTTCTGCATAGTACCATAGTTTTACTGCATATGTTTTAACTGTAGATACTTACTGCATAGTTAGACCATATCAAAATTTTACCATGTCTCCAATTATTGTGGATAACTTTATATGTGTATTTGAGATTGGAAACTTACGACTTACTTGAACTAGTGATGTGTCATGTTTGTACATGTGTTTGATTTGTTTACAAGATAGTTTTTTTTTAAAACACAAGACATGCTGCACGAGTGATTCTGGAAGTATTTTTTATTACAGTTGTATGTTCTGGTTGTGATCCCAATAGTTAATACCTTTGTCAGTAATGAGTAATGTTTGCAATTATTTTATTTGTTACAACAGCTCACAATCATATGCTTAAAATCATTTTAGGTTCCACAGATTTGTCACAGTCAGCCAATTTGGAAAATAGTTTGCTATATCGTATGTCCCTTTGAAGTTGCTCCTGCAAGTTTGGATGTAGGATAGGGATGTATCAGGTGTGGTATAATCATCCAATTTACTGAGAATTAGAAAGGTGTGGCTTTGTAGTGCAATGTTCTTAAGATTTGACTAAGATATTATCCGTGGTTTGGTATTCTCGGTCTCCCAATATGATACGATGGTACTGCTGCATGATTGCTCAGTGTGGTGTAAAATTCACAGTTCACGCCTATGAGAATTCTATTTTACCGAACAATATTGACCTGGCTTATCAAATGCATGTGAATTTTGAATTTTCAATTATATTAATCCTTCAAAAACAAAACATCCATGTCAATCCCCAAGATCTGTTTGTCTGACTGTGACAAGTCTTGATCCCCGGAGTTGATTGGACCCCCCTGCCAATTTGCTGTCGGCACAAACTCAGGACTATGTGTTCTCTGTCCATGTTGTTCCACTCGGGCACGTCTTGCTTTAAAAGCAACACAATTTATTACTGGGTACCCATTTTTAACGCACCAAGCCTAACCTGTTACTTTGCAGTCTCGTTTAGTTCCACAGCTGTTAAACAGTATTGAGTCTTTCCTGTTCAGAGTATGTTGGATATAAACGTTTGTTACAAAATCTTCATACCTCAGGTTCGTTGAATGTGTGTACATTTGGTGATCGACCCAAATCAGTATATATCTTGTATTATGGTCATGGCAATGCGCTGTGGATCAGCGAGATGTGATTCCTTGGGGGATATCAAAACTATGTGTCTGTCTAGCTGATATTCGGTTCCTACCCCTATCAGTATTTTGCATTTATTTATCAATCAAAATCAAAGCATTCAACTAGCATTACAAGTGCTTCATGTTGCGTTTTCGTCACACTGTATCTATTAAATGACCAAATGAGGAGGAAAATCAAAAGGTATGATTGAGTATATTATGTGTATTTCTACTGTCAATGATATTGTCAATTCTTACTTGCTGGTCACAGTTTACCATGGGATTGGTAGTATAATTGTGTTCACAAAACTGTCAGCACAAGGTGGTGGCAAGAGGAGACTGTTCAATTGGAGCTTTGCCAGACGTTCGGAATTTGGTGAAAGACGTTCAAAGTGTTGTGAATATTATATCCCTTTCAACTGAACTCTTAAAGTAGAGCATTATTGGGACAGTACAGTCCTTGATTCTGGCTACCTTTGTTTGAGTGCTTCATTTGAACAGTTAACTCCTTGTCACCAACTTGTGAAGCAGATGTGCAGGATAATTGAGGGTCCTGCTATTTTCTTGCCTTACTCAGTACTTGACAACATATCTAGTCAGACGAGACCTAAAACCTATAGTAGACTAGAAACAGCATCTGTATATTGGCTGCCATGTCCTTCCCTAGCCGTTACATATAGATGGACTTGACATTTCATTTAATTGGGCTGCAGTAGATCCGAGACGTGTCGCTTTGACAACAACAGGGTATAGGGGAGAAATACATGTAAATGTATATTTGTATTCATATGAACTTGATTATAATCAAAATTGTGATATTTTTCACCTCTTTTCTTCATGCTCATTTTTGTCAATTCATGAATGCTAGAATTGCACCCTCAGTATTTCATATTTCTCCGTGGGAATTTGCATCGGTGATGTGTTTATCAGTCTCCATGCTTGTATGGTTGTGAGATGATGCCCTGAATCTGGACCTGGAGCTCTGACAAGAGGGAGCCCAGGGAAACAGTTCCCCACATCTGCTGCAGCCCAGTTGCCAGATCACAGTAGTTGGTATAGAGGTTTGTTAACCAGGTAACTCAGCATGTAGATATCGGCCCGCCTGCCTGCCACCACTGGACTCGACTGACGGAAAGCAGATTTTACTTATTTTATTGTCCTAACTTTGATGTGTCTCCCTGTGGCCACAGTGTGTGGTTTCTATCTTGTATTAGTTCGCATTGTGATGTGGTTTGGCAATGTACAGAATGAGAAAGGTATTAAACTTTATTGATATAAAATGGTTTGTTATGTTTTTCATTACAGTTTCAAGGGAATTGCCAACACCAGTTCTTGACATATATTTTTCTTGAAAAAAGGTATTTTCTTTGCGTATATACCCCAAAGGAGATGCCATTGAGTGAATATAGTCAATGCATTGATTGATTGAATGCACTTGGTGTGCTTCATTTATGCCCCACCCATCACTCCTGACTGAATAGGTCCTGGTAACATGCTTGCTGAAGGAGCCTGGTAACATGAATATGGTGCAGTTACTATGTTTATTTGTTTTTTAAGGCGAGCAACAATATTACAGCTTTATGGTCGCAACCTGTTATTAACTATCCTGGATCGTACAAGCCAGTGATTGATATTATGAACAATGTGCCAGTTGACAGTTTGGATGACAATCCAAACAACTGCATCCTGATCCGTTTTGTCTTAGGGGCATGGGTGGCCCAGTCGTCTAAGGCGCCGTAACTCGCTGTTCAGAGTTGCCTCCGTTTGACACACCAGAAACCTATGATTGTGGGTTCGAATCCCGGTTCGCCCCGATTATGTTTCTAGGTTTGTCAGCACAAACCCGCCCTCATTGGTTTCACCAAAGTGGTAAACATCTGTGACCTGCATAACTTTAGGCCTTTCCTCCCACATTAAGCTGACACGTGGTGATATAACTGGAATACTTTTACAAGCAGCGTAAAATCAAACTTGCTCACTCACTCATTTTGTCTGGTTCTTGGACAAAAAAATTGGTTACTTTGGACCTGTTATAACCAGTAATCCCCATGAGATTCCTGCAGTTACAATGTTAGTCAGTGACCATCAACTGATTTGTTCGATACAATTTTGTACAGGCTTAAATGAAATTGTGGACTGGGGTATGAAACAGTAACCGACGTAAACACCAGAAACTAGTTTTGTCTAATATGGTAGGAGGCTAAATTAAACTGAAATTCTGAGTTCATTTGTCAAATACCTAGCTAAGTATACAGCAGATGAGATTCTTGCTTTGCCTTGATGATGATCGATCATTCCCATCGTGTAGTGCTTAACCGCATGACCAATGGAAAATACCAATAAGCCTTGCTTTCTGATAGGGAGTGTCATTTGCTGAAAATGATCTATTATTTCAGTCTTGAAATCCGCTCTCTCCAAGTTTAAGTAGCCAGAGATTTAGAAGTTCTCATTTCAGTGAAATGTGTTTGTAGATGATTTTATTTGTAATGAAGGTAGTTTGTAAAGTACACCATGATCGTACACCAAATGAAGGTAATCACTAATTCGATTTCTGTTGATATTAAGACAACACGCCTATAGTTAAGGTACGGATTGTTGCCTAATATGATTTAATGGACAAGAGGGTAAATACAATAACCCGTGCATTATCCCACCAGCGACAGATTGAGGTCGTCCTGTAAATAAAGAGCTGCCGAACATCACATTAGTCCTGAAAAAAGTCTCGAGGAATGAAGACAACTCACACAAAAATCGGTGATGGACCCTTGTGAACTTACAGGAGAATAAAATGAAATCCCCCCTGATACATATCCACCTTTCCTTATATATCTTAAGTAAAGAGCTGATGAACACGATGGAATCTACTTCGGAAAAAAAATCCTTATGAGACATGAATGAAGGCCAAATGTTTCCTGGTGCTGTGAATAAGTCCCCAGTCAAGATCATCTCAGCCACGCATTTAGAGATGCTCCTTCATCTAGACCAGCACAGCAGCACGAAACATCCCCAGTGATGATGGTACAGACATCTGTCATGTGTGAAAATGACATACGGTTCCAGACATGATGATTTCTTAATCAGTATCCACCAATTTGGACCAACAATGATCCTCTGACATCATCGCACCTACGGCATTTCAGTCTCTGGAAATCGATGGTCGATGTGGGATGTCTATAGTTGGTTTTCTTTTATTCATTGTTGACATGTAAATGAACAACCACGTGTAAGAATTACCACAGGCAAGAATCGGATGCAGGTAATGTTACAAAATTGCACACAACGAAGACTTCTTTCCATATTTGTTGGATTCCCCTTGACAATCTACAGCAATCTCATCCATCACCTGGAACAGATTCAACCATTGGTGAATAAATATTAAGATAGGAGAAAGCAAGTTTTGAACTAGGTCTGCTGAATCAAGATTTATCGATCTTGTTCATTCGAACAATTACAGTGTCCAAATTACACTGATACAATGTGTCAAATTCACGGGGAGCGTTAATCGCAAAGTCTAGACATGGCTTGCAAATAGACACTGGCAATGGAGTTTATATCCTGTACAGGATCTTGTCACGATGGTTATTTCTAAATTCCAATAAGATTAGTGTATATGTTCAATCTTTCACAAAACCAATATGTCGCCTTTTAGATGGTGTCGTTAGTTCAGACGAGAAGGAAAATGAAATGACATTTCGTTTTGTTTCCTTGCGTGTTCAGTGCACAAAACAGGAAATTAATCCCACATATCAGATCCAGGGACGATATGAATCACCTGGGAATGTTTAATTAAACCGGCGTGACAAAATACTACTGTCACACTACAGCGCTCCCCCATATATTCTGACTTCAGAATCCTACAGGTATCCTTACGTGCATAGCTAGTGATTACTAATTTGTTATGAAACAGCCTTCACTTGTTTATGAGAAGGTATACACCTGGAAAAAAGCTAATCAACACCTAACTTGGAGATGTGTACATGGCATTGATTTCATTTTAATAAAGAAAAACCTTACTTCTGTGTGAGTGAATTGTGCTTAACGCTCCCCAAAACAGTATTCCAGTTTATATCACGACGTGTCAGCTTAATGTGGGAGGAAAGCCTGAAGTGATGCAGGTCTGAGACGTTTACCACTTCGGTGAAACCCACGAGCACGGGTATGGTGCTGACAAACCTAGAAACATAATCGGGGCGAACCGGGATTCGAACCCACAATCATAGGTGCCCAAGGGACGCAGCTGTGCACAGTGAATTACGGCGCCTCCGACGACTGGGCCACCCGTGCCCCCACCCACCTTCTAAAAAGATGGTATGAGGGAAGGTTGCACGTCCTGGGTCATGATGCAAATATAATGATGCATGATGAAACTAAGAAAGGAAGAAGTTGTTAAGGTACACAAATAACTATTACAATCCGAAAATTTACCAGACATCTTGTAGATAATCGGTCCCTGTTTCTGTAACATTGTGTACAAAATACCATGTGTATTGTCAGAGGTGAGGTGAAATGGGGTTTAACGTCGCGTCCAAGATTATTGCACTTATATAGCGACGTGCATGTACGTGTGTGTGTTTGTGTGGCTGCTTGTACTAGTCCGGACTGATGCCGATTTATAGTGCTAGCCCAATGAGATACAATGCCGCAGTTTAACATGAATACCCCACTCAGACACAGTATACTGACTCCGAGCCGACCAGTCCTTGTTTTAACCCCTTAATGCCGAGCGCCAGACAGGGTAACAACAAGTACCATGTTTTGGTATGACGCGGTCGGGGATCGAACTCCGGACCTTCATCTCTCCGGGCGGACGCTCTACCACTAGGTCAAGGAGGCGGTCTTGTATCGTCAGAAAATGTAAACTAGATACGATTTTCTTAGACAGTTGTATTACTTAAAACTGAAGTGTTTGGCAAGTGATGCTCAACATAATCCAGGCGGATTTAAACATTGACTTTAATTCTGCCTGTGTTAGAGGTAGAAAAGTAAAACTGTATAAATCCGCGCAAAAGTGTGCACATCAGTTGTGTGTTTATAACTCCATAAAGGCAAACATTATGTTGATATCAATTCTTATAAATAATCCAGTCAACAGCAAGAACTCATAGACCGCTTATTTAATCATCAGCACACCCAAAAAGTTTAGACCGCGATACAAAGTCATGTGACATCGTTCAGCGCAGTAACGCAACACAAGCCCCGCCCATTGTATTATCATCCAATCAGGTAACAGTAGTTTTTTTAAGTCATGGAAAGGCATTTAGAAGTGATACACATAAGGAAGAGAATTTATGGATGTCCACTTCTTTATTTTGAGGAACACAATGTTTCGGAGTAAATTTCGTTTATCCTACTCGTTAATCTGACATAATCATATGCAACCAACCATTAACGGGACTTGACTGTATAAGCATTTTTTGACTGGCCGTGGCTTGGTTAGCCAATCAAATGCTACGGAATCACTTGCAATGTTTTTCGTAATCCAAAAAGCCAGGTATAGGTGTCAACTGTACATTACCTGCTTGATCTGTGGCATGCTCCCTGTGTCGAGCTTGGAGAATATTAGATTCCCATTAGAGAAGATTTCAAAGGAATCTGGAGTATAGAAGATTAAATAAGTGTTGGTTATCAAAGCAGAGAAACAGACATATAGAGAGTTTATACCTCAAGATATGATTTAAACAAAAATATACAAGATAAAATTCATTAGAATATTGAGCCGTTCCATACGGAACGACGAGAGACTATTTTACATAAAATACAAGGAAAGTAAAATTAACGTAAATAAAATACTGGAACTATATTACAGTTAGGTGAATATATGACAGGTTTATACAAATTGACATTGCGTTGTTTTAAGATATTTATGCAGGTTTTAGCAGATAAAGAAATCATTTCAGGATGCCGCACAAGAAACTTAGCTTTCTCGACGTCATTAAAAGACATGAAACTGTATAGAACGGGTGTGCATTTGTGAAAAGGCGGGTTCTTTCATTAGGGTATAAAGAACGGTATAGTAAAACGCGGTATTCATCCCCAATAAAATATTTACAATAATAGAACAGTAAAAAAACTTCCTTCAGATAAATGACAGCTGTCCTATCACCAAGTTTTAACTTTCAGTGGCGCAACGCCACATCTAAAAGGTGCCAATGTCCTTTTATAACATGTGAGGTGAAATGGGGTTTAACGTCGCGTCCAATATTATTGCACTTATATAGCGACGTGCATGCACAAGCCAGGCTTGATATAGTGTGTGTGTGGCTGCTTGTACTAGTCCGGACTGATGCCGATTTATAGTGCTAGCCCAATGAGATACTATGCCGCAGTTTAACATGAATACCCCACTCAGACACAGTATACTGACTCCGAGCCGACCAGTCCTTGTTTTAGCCCCTTAATGCCGAGCGCCAGACAGGGTCACATCTTTAAACGTCTTTTGGTATGACGCGGTCGGAGTTGAACCCCGGACCTTCGGCTCTCCGGGCGGACGCTCTACCGCTAGACCACGGAGGCGGTCCCTTTAATAAGAACGGGACATGTTACATTTTGCATAAAACTCAGTACCAAATTCATTTTTAAAAGTTGAATATGTGCGAAACCTATAACCACCTGTGCCAGTTCTACCGTCCGTTTTTGATACAGCTTGTTTCCCCATATTATGAAACCTAATATATATAAGATAAGTTACTTGTGACACAATAGGATATGATAAGTTGTGTTTACATTCTTAGAATGTTCAAGGCTATGGTCAATTTCGTTTCTTTTGTAGAGCCAAAGCATTACTCCACGTAAAAATGTTATAAGTAACATTCGGAATCACACCAGTGCCTATGCAAACTTGACACACTTATCCACTGATTAACAACAGTCGGAGTCCAACCCATATCATCAATAACACCATTATTTGGTGCCTGTTTATGTAAACCAAGAACAAAGCTCATGACACGGAACACCGAAGGACCTCTGAAAGGCCTTGGAATCACCAATATCTACACCTAATGATAATGGCTAACGGTTACAAAAAGGTCGTTAATGTACAGATTAAAAAATAAAGGCGATAAGAAACAGCCCTGTTTTAAACCACATTGCAATCGAACCAGGGTGTTTTACGACCGTTAATACGTACAGTGAGTGAGTGAGTGAGTATGGTTTTACGCCGCTTTTAGCAATATTCCAGCAATATCACGGCGGGGGACACCGATATGGGCTTCACACATTGTACCCATGTCGGGAATCGAACCCGGGTCTTCGGCGTGACGAGCGAACGCTTTAACCACTAGGCTACCCGACCGCCCTAATACGTACAGAACGTTTGACATTTTTATAAAGTGACATAACAACTTTAAACATGAATACACAATGTCATTTAGAAAGTGGTCCAATGTAACAAATGTTATTTTTGGGATAAAACTTTCTCAGTAAAGTACAAATTTAAACATGTTTCTATTTACACCAATATATTTATAACTCAATTTGTCCCATAGCAGATTCCTATCAATAAAGTCATAAACCTTTTTAAAAATAAATCAATAAAGGCTGTAAAAGTTGATTTACGTTGGGACTTCGGCTTTTTGTTATAGAGGTCATGCTTGATATGTGTTCGGTGGTAGATCGTCGCTTACTGAAACCATTTTGATTATCACAAATGAGTTCGGTTTCGTCAGCATACACAGTGAGCCTCTTGTTCAGAATACCACAGGGGCGGTCGGGTAGCCAAGTGGTTAAAGCGTTAGCTCGTCACGCCGAAGACCCGGGTTCGATTCCCGACATGGGTACAATGTGTGAAGCCCATTTCTGGTGTCCCCCGCCGTGAAATTACTGGAATATTGCTAAAAGCGGCGTAAAACCTCACTCACTCACTCACTCACTCAGAATACCACAGTAGAGTTTATATGATGCACTTGCAAGAGTAATACCACGGTAGCATAGAAGGTGTCTGGAATCGTCAGCACTAGACTTAGGGACAGGCGTTGTAAACCCCTTTGCCCAACAAGGAACGCGGTGGATTAAAACGAATGCTTCATGTACGCGGTGATGTTTTCGTCAATAATAGTTAGAATGGGGATTCCTGGAAGAATCGGTTCACAGTATCCCACGCTTGTCATAAACGTAGTACCCAACGGCTGGGACGTGGCTCATAATATCAATCACCGGTGTGTCTGGTCCAGATCGATTATTGACCTACCGCTATGATATGGACAGACTAATTCTGACTGCCACGTTATACAAGAAAACAAATGATTATGTATGTCTAGCAATGTACGGAATAACATCACATTAATAATTAATCAATTAAAATATATACTACCCAAAAGGAGTGAAGGAACACCCGATTCTTTCAGGTTTTCTATCGTAATATGAAAGAGCCGGTGTTCTTTAACTTCTTTTGAGTAGTGTATAAAGAAACACGTTATCATATCCATATGTCACAGAGGTAACACGAAACAAACCATATTTCATTGTGAGTGAGTGAGTGAGTTGTTTTTAACGCCGCTTTTAACAGTATTCCAGTTATATCACGGCGTGTCAGCTTAATGTGGGAGGAAAGCCCGAGGTTACGCAGGACACAGACGTTTAACACTTCGGTGAAACCCACGAGCATGGGTATGGTGCTGACAAACCTAGAAATGTAATCGGGGCGAACCTGTATTCGAACCCACAATCATAGGTTTCTGGTATGCCCATAGGACGCAACTCTGTACAGTGAATAGCGGCGTCTCAGAGGACTGGGCTACCTGTTTCCCCGTTTGATATGAAGATACACCTAATCCAAAACATATTTGTATTTGTAACATCCCTCTATATATGTAAATACGTGTGTTGACAGTGTTTGTTTATGTAAACAGGGGAGTGTGATGTAAAGAAAATTTATATTTTCATTTGTTTTCAGGACTTCGAAATGTTGTGTATCAAATGTCATGAAGAATCAAAGGATATCAACTTATCACTGAGAAATAATATGAACAATGACCCAAATGATGAAAGCACTAGTAAAATGTTCTGAAATTATAAGGGGAATCAAGCGTATATTCCAGTGGCTCCAGTCTTTGGTGTCTAGATTCCGCAACTATTGAGGTACAGTCGAGCATTTCAAAGAACGTTATAAAGTTGTAACAAATGTTATATTTGGGATAACACTTTCTGAGTAAAGTACAGATTCTCGTACTTTCTTTGGGATTCGAACCCACACTACCAGAGTGAGGCACCTAATCGCCAGCACACAAAGTCAGCGATCTAACCCACTCAGCAACCGAGGCTTCCACAAAAAAATGAAAGTCCGACAACTAGTAGTCTAGTCTAGAAAGTATCCACAAATTGTCAGAATACGCTGAAGACCTTCCGCGGGATACGCTCACATGCTTATTGTGTAGTCGTACAATGGACTTTAGCAGAGTAAGTCAAATGGTAGAGATGTAGAAAGTATTCACACATTGTCAGACTACGCTGCAGACCTTCCGGGGGATACGCTCACATGCTTATTGTGTAGTCGTACAATGGACTTTAGCAGAGTAAGTCAAATGGTAGAGATGTAGAAAGTATTCACACATTGTCAGAATACGCTGCAGACCTTCCGCGGGATACGCTCACATGCTTATTGTGTAGTCGTACAATGGACTTTAGCAGAGTAAGTCAAATGGTAGAGATGTAGAAAGTATCCATACATTGTCAGAATACGCTGAAGACCTTCCGCGGGATACGCTCACGTGCTTATTGTGTAGTCTTACAATGGACTTTAGCAGAGTAAGTCAAATGGTAGAGATGTAGAAAGTATTCACACATTGTCAGAATACGCTGCAGACCTTCCGCGGGATACGCTCACATGCTTATTGTGTAGTCGAACAATGGACTTTAACAGATTAAGTCAAATGGTAGAGATGTAGAAAGTATTCACACATTGTCAGAATACGCTGCAGACCTTCCGGGGGATACGCTCACATGCTTATTGTGTAGTCGTACAATGGACTTTAGCAGAGTAAGTCAAATGGTAGTGATGTAGAAAGTATCCACACATTGTCAGAATACGCTGCAGACCTTCCGGGGGATACGCTCACATGCTTATTGTGTAGTCGTACAATGGACCTTAGCAGAGTAAGTCAAATGGTAGAGATGTAGAAAGTATCCACACATTGTCAGAATACGCTGCAGACCTTCCGGGGTAGAATAGGTCTTCAGCAACCAAGCAGCCGTAATAGGCGACTAATTATTCGTAAGAGGCGACTAATGGGTACGGGTGGTCAGACTCGCTGATATGGTTGATGCATGTCATCATATGCCAATTGCGTTGATCGATGCTCATGATGTCAGTCACTGGAATGTCTGGTCCAGACTCGATTATTTACAGACCGCCGTCATACAGCTGGAATATTGCTGAGTGCGGCGTTACACTACAAACAAACAAACAAACAAACAAACAAACAAACAAATTGTTACAAATATTTCAACAATATCACGATGGGGGACACCAACTGACACGTGTCGGTAGCAGGTTACTGGACTTGGTGTTTGTACATCACTCTATCTTTACATTTAAACAATATCACGTGGTGTACACGAACTTTCAGCTCGTAAAACCCCACCCCCTCTGTTGACGTATGTATCGAATGTATCAGCACAAGATCACAAGTTACAGACACGTATTTTCGTTGGCGCTAGCAAAAAGGCTGAAGATGAGTGGATGAATTGGGTTTTACGTCGCATGGGAGGCTTAAAAGTGACGCATGTCTTTGACGTTTAACAGTCTGTGAAACCCACGAGTGCCGTCAGACGAAGGATCATACTCTCAACAAATCTAGGAATATAACAAACCAATATTTCAACGGTCCCCTGAGGTGCAATATAACGAACCATAGACAAATTGCAAAATCTAACAATACACTCCACTTTTTTTGTATACCATGTCCCTGATACTTCAAAGAATGAAAGAGATCTGTCAATAGATGCCATCGTAGACCAACATGTTTACCATCATCAACAGCGAAAATGCATTAGTCTACCGTGTTAGGCTAACACATTGTAATGCCACCAAACATAGGTGCAGCACCATATCGCTAAAACAATCCCAACAATGTTGCATTACGGTCCGACAGCGACGCCGTTCGAGTAGATTAAGCGTAATGTTTCTGCCTCAAAGATAATATGCTTGTACATTGCTAATGTTATTGCAGTGAGCGGCCTGCCAATCCTGCCCGCAGACAACTGTTCGGTAAACACTGTTATCTCTTGTAATCAGTTGTATTTCATGACCAGTGACCGTCAAATAACATATTGATTTACAAGTACTAAAAGCAATTGTTCAAAATGGAATAAATGGTGTCATTAGATTGAATGTGTCGGCACGGGGATGGTTTGGGGTATATACACTCCTTTGTGTTTGAGTGCACTGAACTTCGTCCCACTATTGGTTCTTTGTATGGTATTTTGTGTTCAAGAAGGAATCGATAATTGAACAAGGATTAACGTTGCGGCAAACGGCAACCTAGTGGTGTTTTAAATCGTCTGTGACGAATTTGATTCTGTTACATATCCGGTGCAATACAGTGCAATACAGTCTGATGGATGTCTTATTGAATGCCTAGGCTTTGTGGAATCTTGTATTGATTGTAAATCAGGTTCGTAGGTATGTAGATAACTTGTCATTTGTAACGTGTACCTACAATATATCCTACTCCAAAGAAGTTAAAGAACACCCACAACTGGAAGGCTGTGTTGCAATACCCACCATCCGTGACAGATTAACTACAATCATATGAAAAACCCGGGTGTTCTTTAGTTTCGTTTAGGTAGTATGTTTTGTATCCTGCATATACAAACCAATACCAAGAGCTACAGGATCTCTCAAATAAATTAATTTACATGTTCCATTTCTGTTTGTCTTCTTGTCTGTCATAAGTTTTGAATATACGATATGAGGTCATTGGCGTCAAATCACACAGCGGGTTAACAATTATTTGTATATTTTAATAGGAACAAAATGAAAAGTGGGTAAAAAAGTCCCCTTATACGCTCGAATTTCTTGAGAACTGAAAAGAGCAGGAACGAATTTTTAAAAAAGTGTCATGGCAAGCTAAACTTGATCAGAAAACTGCGTAAACATCTCGTGTTAAATCGTCTGTGACGAATTTGATTCTGTTACATATCCGGAGTGCAATACAGTCTGATGGATGTCTTATTGAATGCCTAGGCTTTGTGGAATCTTGTATTGATTGTAAGTCAGGTTCGTAGGTATGTTGATAACTTGTCATTTGTAATGTGTACCTACAATATATCCTACAGTTTAGATCGAATTTGAAAAAAAGTGTCATGGCAAGCTAAACTTGATCAGAAAACTGCGTAAACATCTCGATGTTTAGTAGTAATAATTGTTAACAGGAACTGTATGTAGTAATATTTCCATGTTTAAAGACAGATGTATTGAGGATAAGTAGTTGACAGGAAATCCCCAGATTGACGCCAGTCGGTGAGCAAGGTATGGTGTGACTCACGATGGTACATAATCAGAATTATTCGGTGCTTGTTCTTTAACACCACACACAACACTATTCAACCTGTATGACAACGGGCTAAAAATAATTGAGTTTGGACAAGGCAAATCAGTTATTAATGTTATTAGCAACGTCCCACGCTGGCGGGGTGCAATGACACGCTATCAAACAATGAAGTACCGAATCCGACCGATTCATCTAGTCGCCTCTCATGACCAACATCATTTATGAATATATATCAGAACTCCTACGGGGTAATGTATGTTGACTGAATAAATGACTGACTGACTGACTGAATAAATGACTGAATAAATGACTGAATAAATGACTGAATAAATGACTGACTGACTGACTGACTGACTGACTGACTGACTGACTGAGCCCATGACCAGGAAATCATAGCACAGCTAACTGAGCAGTGGATTGACGGATATTTGTCTCTTGCTTATACGTTCATCCAATCTGGTCATAAATTCGTGCGCAGTGCAGTGTAATCAGAATCAACGAGCAGGCAGTGGTTGTGGGTTACCTTTAACGGAGTAGGTCCCGGAGACATCTGCTGCAGGGAACCTCGACAACACAGCCAGCTTCAAGTCCGTGAACAGCTGGCTGTAGTCCGGTCACACATAGCTGCGGGTAGATGGTAGACGTATATATCACATAAAGGCTATAGGTAAAGTTAGGCATACCCCTACACATAAGTAATAAAAAAACAAACTTTTGCATATATTATAGCTATCGGTAGAGACAGGCATACCCGTAAACATATGTATAAAAACAACCCAAAATTTTGCATCTAGAATAGCTATCAGTAAAGACAGGCATACCCTTACTAATATGTAATAAAGAAGATAATACTTGTGCACTCGGTATAGCTATTACAAAAGTCAGGCATACTCGTACACACGTAATTAATAAAGAAGGTAACATGTGTGCAATCATTTTAGCTATTACAAAAGTCATGCATACCAGTACACACATAATTAATAAAGAAGGTAATACGTTTGCAATCGGTATAGCTATTACAAAAGTCATGCATACCCGTACACACATAATTAATAAAGAAGGTAATACGTGTGCATACAGTATAGCTATTACAAAAGTCAGGCAAACCCGTACACATGTAATTAATAAAGAAAGTAATACGTGTGCACACAGTGTAGCTATTACAAAAGTCAGACATACCAGTACACACATAATTAATAAAGAAGGTAATACCTTTGCATACAGTTTAGCAATTACAAAAGTCAGACATACCCGTACACACATAATTAATGAAGAAGGTAATACGTTTGCATACAGTATAGCTATTACAAAAGTCATGCATACCAGTACACACATAATTAATAAAGAAGGTAATACGTGTGCATACAGTATAGCTATTACAAAAGTCATGCATACCCGTACACACTTAATTAATAAAGAAGGTAATACATGTGCATGCAGTTTAGCTATTACAAAAGTCAGACATACCAGTACACACATAATTAATAAAGAAGGTAATACCTTTGCATGCAGTTTAGCTATTACAAAAGTCAGACATACCAGTACACACATAATTAATAAAGAAGGTAATACGTGCGCACACAGTGTAGCTATTACAAAAGTCAGACATACCCGTACACACATAATTAATAAAGAAAGTAATACGTGTGCACACAGTGTAGCTATTACAAAAGTCAGACATACCCGTACATACTTAATTAATAAAGAAGGTAATACGTGTGCACACAGTGTAGCTATTACAAAAGTCAGACATACCAGTACACACATAATTAATAAAGAAGGTAATACCTTTGCATACAGTTTAACTGTTACAAAGGTCAGACATACCAGTACACAAATAATTAACAAAGAAGGTAATACCTTTGCATGCAGTTTAGCTATTACAAAAGTCAGGCATACCAGTACACACATAATTAATAAAGAAGGTAATACGTTTGCATACAGTATAGCTATTACAAAAGTCAGACATACCCGTACACATGTGTATTTATGAAGAGGATAACACGGGGGCACGCTATATCAATAAAGTTGGGGTTACATGTTCACATGTGTAATACATAGACGAGGATAACACGTATGCATATAGCATCAGTTAAGTTCTCCATACACGTACACATATGTAACAAAGAGGGGCGGTGGGGTAGTCTAGTGGTTAAAACGTTCGCTCGTCACGCCGAAGACCCGGGTTCGATTCCCGACATGGGTACAATGTGGGAAGCCCATTTCTTGTGTTCCCGCCGTGATATTGCTGGAATATTGCTGAAAGCGGCGTAAAACCATACTCACTCACTCACTCACTGTAACAAGGAAGAGGAAAACACCTAAGCGAAATGAAAACAATACGGTCATAGTCGTACGTTAGAGAATAGCATAACACATGCTTATAGTATTAGTTAATACACATATATACTACATGGAACATATTAAGTATATTACTTAACTGACGGAATTGCTTATGATTTACTTGGGAATGCTTCATGCTGTCTTTTTGCTACATTATATGTCATTTAAAGAAACATCTTATGTACATCTACTAGACACATACACCCCATTGACGTCAATAAATAATATATCTCCGCACACATGTGCTGCATCAATAATTTGTACACGTTCACATCATTAGGATACAATGACACACATATAAACCTGTTGCTGCGCCTTGTGCCCCCTCCCCCCCCGACACACACACACATTCTCCCACCCACCCCCACCCCCACACAACACACACACACACACACACACACACACACACACACACACACACACACACACACACGCACGCACGCAAGCACGCACGCAGGGTGCTTCTCACAGGGTGCTTCTCACAGGGTGTCCCATTGACTTCATCACATGATTGTCAAGTTATCGCTGATTTTCAGTGATCCATACATATAATTTTCACCGCTATTTCGCCTTGTAGGCTCAATGGAGTCTGTTTCAGCAGATTATGAAGACCGGCGACGTTGCGATTCTTGACGTTTGATATTTACCTGCTTTTTATTATCATTTCTCAGAACTTTCATTAAAAACTTATCTGAGGATATATATTATTGTCCTTTCTTTTCTCTTAATATTTATGCCATTAAGTGTAATTTTCTTTGTCCATGAATCATCAGCGATGAAATGGAACACACAGACTAATTCTATTTGTCAATATAGCTTTCAAGCATCACTGAACAAAGATTTACGGCTGAGAAAACATTGATGGCGATTATTACCATACCGTCAAGTTCCGCATTCTTTATAATAACACGTGTGTCATCATGGATAGCTCCTCGTAGATTACGAAAATAGTTCAGAAGAACGAAATGATTTAAGTATTCAGCACATTGATTTCCAATTGTGTGCAAACATAATTAAAATGGTATTACGTGCAATTGCAATGTGCCAAGGCTCTAAAATTCATGCCTCCTCGAGATAATCTGCAGATAATGAGCTCGTTGAGGTATTAGGTAGTTATTCATTTCATGCACAACATCATTTTATTTAATCAAGCGTCAATTTAATATGATCAAACATCACACATTGTAACGGAATCGTAATCGGAAACCGTTTAATGTACACCATAATAACACATTCCTCGATCAAAGTGATAATGTTTATTGTAGAACTTTCATTTGAATAATTCGTATTTAAACATGAAAATTGCGGGTTGATTGAAAGGTGAATAATGACGATGTTTCACATTCAAACAAAAAAGGCGTTAATTGTTTAATTTTGTCATTATGGATAGAAAGGCGACAATAAATGCCAAAGCATTCAGTTTCTCGGCTTTGCAATGTAAACAATAAATGTTTCTTATAGCAGTGATAGTTTGAATTTCCACGAGAATCCATAATACTGTACGGTAAAACATCGTTACTTCGACGTATTTGGGGTCATTGATAATATATCGAGATTCGAAGTTCGAGACAAGCTGAATGCTTAAATTTGATAATGTTTAATGAACCAACTAGTAATATATATATGATGGGGTGAAACGTTGTTATATTCCGTGGCAATACGGCCCCAACACACGTACGCGTTGCTATACTACGTGGTAACACGGACCTTACACGCATACGTGTTGCTATACTACGCGGCAACACGGACCTTACACACGTTGCTATACTACGCGGCAACACGGACCTTACACACGTTGCTATACTACGCGGCAACACGGACCTTACACACGTTGCTATACTACGCGGCAACACGGACGTTACATACATACATGTTGCTATACTACGTGCTCACACGGACCTTACACACGTTGCTATACTACGCGGCAACACGGACCTTACATACATACATGTTGCTATACTACGTGCTCACGCGGACCTTACACACGTTGCTATACTACGCGGCAACACGGACCTTACACACATAAACGTTGCTATACTACGTGGCAACAGGGACCTTACGCACGTACACGTTGCTATACTACGTGGCAACACGGATCTTACACACATAAACGTTGCTATACTACGTGGTAATACGGACCTTACATACATACATGTTGCTATACTACGCGGCAAAGCGGATCTTACACACATAAACGTTGCTATACTACGTGGTAACACGGACTTACACACGTTGCTATACTACGTGTGTGGACCTTACACACATACACGTTTCTATACTACATGGCAACACTTACCTTACACACGTTGCCATACTACGTGGTAACACGGACCTTACACGCATACGTGTTGCTATATTACGCGGCAACGCGGACCTTACACACGTTGCTATACTACGCGACAACACGGACCTTACATACATACATGTTGCTATACTACGTGCTCACACGGACCTTACACACGTTGCTATACTACGCGGCAACACGGACCTTACACACATAAACGTTGCTATACTACGTGGCAACAGGGACCTTACGCACGTACACGTTGCTATACTACGTGGCAACACGGATCTTACACACATAAACGTTGCTATACTACGTGGTAACACGGACCTTACATACATACATGTTGCTATACTACGCGGCAAAGCGGATCTTACACACATAAACGTTGCTATACTACGTGGTAACACGGGCTTACACACGTTGCTATACTACGTGTGTGGACCTTACACACATACACGTTTCTATACTACATGCCAACACTTACCTTACACACGTTGCTATACTACGTGGTAACACGGACCTTACACACGTTGCTATACTACGTGGCAACGCGGACCTTACACACATTGCTATACTACGTGGGAGCACGGACCTAACACACGTTGCTGAACTACGTGCTAACACGGACCTCACACACGTTGCTATACTACGTGCTAACACGGGCCTTACATACGTACACATTGCTATACCAGGGGGCACTGCAACTAGGGCACAATTAACCCTAACCACCTAATGGTCAACACGATCACATTGGAACATTTCTTTATCGGCCTTGATTGGACCTATTTAATCTAATTTGTTACCACGTATTTAATTGATCTGCGGTGCGTGTGAGATGTGTTTGGTCAGTATTAAACCTAATCCGATTGGGAAGCTACATTACGGAGTGTAGAAAGACTTGATATTACTTGACGAAATTGCTGCCTGGACGGAAACATTTGCCCTGTATTCACAATAATCCGGAGTAAGAAAAGTGCAGATTTGACAGATTCCACTTTATATCAATCCTTGTGTGCTTTTTATATAAATTTCATTTAACATCGTTGACGTTTCTGATTTGCTTCTCTAATAACAATTCAGGACAGATGTAACACAGATCCTATTGATACGCATTTTGTATAGAACTAGCAGAGGGAGCCGTTACCAGAAATGCCGCTCGTCCCGAATCATTACCATTATTAATAATCGACACGCGTTTGTTGCTTTTAAGAAAACTACGGTTATAACGAACACGCTTATAACGAACTGATGGATATAACGAACTTACTTTTTGGTCCCGACTATTTGCTGTAGTTATGCTGTATATATGCTTATAACGAACTACGGTTATAACGAACTAAAATTAGTAGTCCCTTTGAGTTCGTTATAACCGTACTTTACTGTATATAGAATAGTAGCCAGAGCCATTTAAGTCGTCACAAATATACCTCTTTATGAATACCTTGAGAAACTAAGCACCTCGTACTTAGTCGTCCAATGTTAAAAATACATTTTCTAAAAACAACCAAACGTACCCGGAAGAAACAACAGCTATTATTATTCGTGACACTCATTTTGAAACTCAAAAACCGAAATCGGCAAGTGCTGTAAGTATTTTTTTTTAATCTCTCATTGCCTCCTCTGCTTCTCTGCATCATGATATAACAACATTTCCAGAGGCGTCGTTGGTATCTTACACATTTGTCAAAAAACAACAACAATGTCACATGCAGATATTTCTACAAAGTACATGGAAATAAGGGATATATGAACATGAAAGGCTGGTACTTATGTTGCAACATATCCTAAGCATTTGTTTATTCAGCACAATAACTCTTGACATCAGTAATTCGTGATTGGTCACATATCCTTAACATGAATTAAAGCTTGCCTCCAGCTAGACAACATGACCCTAACATGCGACATCACCACCCTACCACGAAGTAACTCTGACACAAGTTCTCGCTCAGCTCTTCTCAATATAATGTACCTATGTTCACGAGCCATAGCCAAGTAACGTCCTACTTCCAACTTAGGTTTGATGCGTGCCTGTCGCCATTATTGGAAGCACAACTGTGAATGTGTGCCGCTATCTGATTGAATGACACGGGGTTAATGTGATTTGAACCACAAACATCTTCTGTTCAACTCACGGCGTATGAATACTGTTCTTACTTTACTTACTTACTTTAATCCTTACGTATATGTAATTAATATTTTGACAGAAACAATCTCTTTAGATGGAGTTTTTATTAACTTCTGGCGATAGACACCCGGTTTCGGTATTACTTTCTCTAATGACGTTATGTATTACAATATGACGCTTTCTTTCTCCACGACTGAAAGTACTACTGAACAAAACAAAACAACAACAAAAAACCAACCCCAAAAAACCAAAACAACAACAACAACAAAAAACGAAACAAAAAACAACAAAAAACAAAAACGTAACATATTTTCAAGTATGCAGGTGTAATAATCGAAGGTCTAACGTCTGAAATGAAACCGGCGCAACTGAGTATCTGGTACTTGAAACCTGAAACCACAATGTTCATCAATGAAATGCTACTGACCAGTAATCCACATGTATGAAGAGGCGATGACCGCTGCTCTGGACGGAGTCTTCCATGTCCGAGTTCATGGTTGTTGAAGTACTGTTGATTGACAGCTGACAGACCCTCACCTGCAATCGATACACTATTGGTCAATGGATCACACCACACCAACCCTCACCTGCTACAACTACACTGGTGGTCTCTGGCTCACACCACACCAACCCTCACCTGCAATAACTACACTATTGGTCTCTGGCTCACACCACACCAACCCTCACCTGCAATAACTACACTATTGGCCTCTGGCTCACACCACACCAACCCTCACCTGCAACAACTACACTATTGGTCTCTGGCTCACACAACACCGACCCTCACCTGCAATAACTACACTGGTGGTCTCTGACTCACACCTCACCAACACTCACCTGCAATAACTACACTGGTGGTCTCTGAATCTGACCTATCCAACACTCATCTGAAATAACTACACTGGGGGTCTCTGGCTCACACCACACCAACCCTCACCTGCAATAACTACACTATTGGTCTCGGGCTCACACCACAGCAACCCTCACCTGCAATAACTACACTATTGGTCTCTGGCTCACACCACAGCAACCCTCACCTGCAATAACTACACTATTGGCCTCTGGCTCACACCACACCAACCCTCACCTGCAACAACTACACTATTGGTCTCTGGCTCACACAACACCGACCCTCACCTGCAATAACTACACTGGTGGTCTCTGACACACACCTCACCAACACTCACCTGCAATAACTACACTGGTGGTCTCTGGATCTGACCTCACCAACACTCATCTGAAATAACTACACTGGGGGTCTCTGGCTCACACCACACCAACCCTCACCTGCAATAACTACACTATTGGTCTCTGGCTCACACCTCACCAACACTCACCTGCATTACTACACTGGTGTTCTCTGATTCACACCACACCAACCCTCACCTGAAATAACTACACTTTTGGACACTGGCTCACACCACACCAACCCTCACCTGCTATAACTACATTATTGGTCTCTGGCTCACACCACACCAACCCTCACCTGCAATAACTACACTATTGGACACTGGCTCACACCACACCAACCCTCACCTGCTATAACTACACTGGTGGTCTCTGGCTCACACCACACCAACCCTCACCTGCAATAACTACACTATTGGACACTGGCTCACACCACACCAACCCTCACCTGCTATAACTACACTGGTGGTCCCTGGCTCACACCTCACCAACACTCACCTGCTATAACTACACTGGTGGTCTCTGGCTCACACCACACCAACACTCACCTGAAATAACTACACTATTGGTCACTGGCTCACACTACACCAACCCTCACCTGCAATAACTACACTGGTGGTCTCTGGCTCACACCACACCAACCCCCACCTGCAATAACTACACTATTGGTCACTGGCTCACACCACACCAACACTCACCTGCAATAACTACACTATTGGTCTCTGGCTCACACCGGACCAACCCTCACCTGCAATAACTACACTATTGGTCTCTGGCTCACACCACACCAACACTCACCTGCTATAACTACACTATTGGTCACTGGCTCACACCACACCAACCCTCACCTGCAATAACTACACTATTGGTCACTGGCTCACACCACACCAACCCTCACCTGCTATAACTACACTATTGGTCTCTGGCTCACACCACACCAACACTCACCTGCAATAACTACACTATTGGTCTCTGGCTCACACCACACCAACCCTCACCTGCAATAACTACACTGGTGGTCTCTGACTCACACCTCACCAACACTCACCTGTAATAACTACACTATTGGTCTCGGGCTCACTCCACACCAACACTCACCTGCGATAACTACAATATTAGTCTCTGGCTCACACCACACCAACCCTCACCTGCATTACTACAATGGTGGTCACTGGCTCACACCACACCAACCCTCACCTGCAATAACTACACTGGTGGTCTCTGGCTCACACCACACCAACCCTCACCTGCAATAACTACACTGGTGGTCTCTGGCTCACACCACACCAACCCTCACCTGCAATAACTACACTGGTGGTCCCTGGCTCACACCACACCAACCCTCACCTGAAATAACTACACTGGTGGTCCCTGGCTCACACCACACCAACCCTCACCTGCAATAACTACACTGGTGGTCTCTGGCTCACACCACACCAACCCTCACCTGCAATAACTACACTGGTGGTCTCTGGCTCACACCACACCAACCCTCACCTGCAACCGATACACTGGTGGTCCCTGGCTCACACCACACCAACCCTCACCTGCAATCGATACACTATTGGTCTCTGGCTCACACCACACCAACACTCACCTGCGATAACTACACTATTAGTCTCTGGCTCACACCACACCAACCCTCACCTGCAATAACTACACTATTGGCCTCTGGCTCACACCACACCAACCCTCACCTGCATTACTACAATGGTGGTCCCTGGCTCACACCACACCAACCCTCACCTGCAATAACTACACTGGTGGTCCCTGGCTCACACCACACCAACCCTCACCTGCAATAACTACACTGGTGGTCCCTGGCTCACACCACACCAACACTCACCTGCTATAACTACACTGGTGGTCCCTGGCTCACACCACACCAACCCTCACCTGCAACCGATACACTGGTGGTCTCTGGCTCACACCACACCAACACTCACCTGCAATAACTACACTGGTGGTCCCTGGCTCACACCACACCAACCCTCACCTGCAATAACTACACTGGTGGTCTCTGGCTCACACCACACCAACACTCACCTGCTATAACTACACTGGTGGTCCCTGGCTCACACCACACCAACACTCACCTGCTATAACTACACTGGTGGTCCCTGGCTCACACCACACCAACACTCACCTGCAATAACTACACTGGTGGTCCCTGGCTCACACCACACCAACACTCACCTGCAATAACTACACTATTGGACACTGGATCACACCACACAAACTCTCACCTGCTATAACTACACTATTGGTCTCTGGCTCACACCACACCAACCCTCACCTGCAATAACTACACTATTGGACACTGGATCACACCACACAAACTCTCACCTGCGATAACTACACTATTGGTTTCTGGCTCACACCACACCAACACTCACCTGCAATAACTACACTATTGGTCACTGGTTGACACCACACCAACCCCCACCTGCAATAACTACACTGGTGGTCTCTGACTCACACCACACCAACCCTCACCTGCTATAACTACACTATTAGTCTCTGGCTCACACCTCACCAACCCTCACCTGCAATAACTACACTGGTGGTCTCTGGCTCACACCACACCAACACTCACCTGCAATAACTACACTATTGGTCTCTGGCTCACACCTCACCAACACTCACCTGCAATAACTACACTATTGGTCTCTGACTCACACCTCACCAACACTCACCTGAAATAACTACACTATTGGTCTCTGGCTCACACTTCACCAACACTCACCTGTTATAACTACACTGGTGGTCTCTGGCTCACAACACACCAACCCTCACCTGCAATAACTACACTATTGGTCTCTGGCTCACACCAGTCCAACCATCACCTGCAATAACTACACTGGTGGTCCCTGGCTCACACCTCACCAACACTCACCTACTAACTACACTATTGGTCTCTGGCTCACACCACACCAACCCTCACCTGCAACCGGTACACTGTTGGTCTCTGGCTCACACCACAGCGACACTCACCTGCAACCGATACACTATTGGCCTCTGGCTCACACCACAGCGACACTCACCTGCAACCGATACACCATTGGCCTCTGGCTCACACCACAGCGACACTCACCTGCAACCGATACACTATTGGCCTCTGGCTCACACCAAACCATCTTCTAACAAATCCCAGAACAAATGATTGATATCACATGGAGATGAGTAAGAATGAGCCTTATCTCTTGGATTATTTTGCAACTATTCCTGTTCTATCGTAGGTAATGACTCATTAATGGAGTCCGATGTGGGGAATTTCAGTACATATTTAAATACATCGTCTGTGATTATAGACCCTAATGCGACTGTAACAAGACTCTAATACGACTCTGACAAGACCATGATGCCACTGCGATTAGAGTCTGATACCATTGTCATCCGTCTGGTATAAGACTGATATGTAATGGTGTAAGAATGACATAATAACAAATCGTATGTTTTCATTTCCCATCAAAGTGTATGTGACATGTAATGATATTTCCACATTTGAGGCATCAGTGACAAAAATGCTGTCTGATGCAATTCCCCATTTTTGACTTGTACCACATGTTCCCGTTTTTAAAAAAAATTGCCTTGCCTTTGCATGTCTTTGTGACGGACGCCACTGGAAGGGCAGGATACGCACACTTTCTCGAAACCACCTGGTAACATAACTATTTGATAGTGACAAATAAACACATGCTCAAGATATAATAAAAATCGTACAATGGGCTCTGGTTTTTGGGGTGATTTTATAAATGTAGAAAGTTTTTTTTCGCTTTTATATACTGTCATAATGTGAACTTCCAGTATGTCTACTTTAAGCCGGTTGAGTGGGCTCAAACGACTCCCCCTAAATTTGACTCTTGAGTCATCTGAGCCTAGGCATACGATAGTAGTTGTTTCAATACAGCTGCACCACATACCTCACCTAGATACCTTCTGAATCCAAAAGACGAAATTACTCCCAAGAAAAAATATACCCCTTTAATAATATCAATGTCTACGCTCAAGACAGTTAAAAACATACATACGCCTACTGCTACTTTACCGTTTGGAATAGAAGACTATTTGCAGATGAGATGTCAGTGTCTCCATCTAATCACGATATCAGTTAATACCAACACCACAGATACTGCACCTGTGTGCTTGGTAGGAATTGTATTCCTCGAACAATGAAATACACCAGCAAAGAAGGGCACTGAGTTACAATCCTACCCAGACTTATCTAATCATCACAATTCTATGGACATTGAGATGTAGTGTACAGTGACCATACATCGCACGCGGGTGTGATTCTCCTTACACGTTATGTACCACACCGCTACACAACGATCAGGTAATAACTAAAT